GTAGCCATCTTGCAGGGCAGTTCTTTTGTTCCACAGGGAAACCTCCTTTGTGCATACCCTGTGGAACAAAATCACTGACCTGCAACATGGCAGCCATGTAAATCCATCTTAGATCCACAGTGCTTTCTCCAGTTTGCCTCCATGGTCCACGCCAAGCCGACCAGTCTTTCCTCTACTGGTATAGACTCCTATCTTTCTCAAACAGGTATCATAATCTTCACCGTCTACACTTACATTGGCCAATTCAAAGGCAGCACTGTCCTCAACGTACTTGCGCAGCGTCGGGGAGTAATCTAACCACTTGGCTGCTAGGGTTTTGAACAAGGCCAGTGAAGTCAGTGGTTGAGTAGCCTGTAAAATCAATCACAGAACAGAAAATGAGGATGTTACCGATGACAGTCAACTTTATAGAAAAGACCTACACTCTAAATTTCTTCTAATCCAACCACATCAGCAGTTTCACTACAAGTGCCCCACTGCGATACAGCCTCAGTTTCACAATGCTTGGAACAAAAACAGTATGGTTTGAGTGATAACAGCAGCAAAGCCAACTGTGACAATAACAAGATCAGAACCACTGCCAGTTATGCAGTAGTGGCAGCCCGCCCCCCAAAAAAGATGATGCCAACACTGGACAAATGTCGACATAAGATGTAACGACAGGTGCAGGACAGGCAGTATCCAAAACTGCGACCTCCGCTCCAACAACAACAGCTACGGCAATACAACTCCTGCAATAACGGTAGCAATTGTTTTTAACTATCAAATCTGGCCTCTCTGTCTTATCATCATTCACACTATTGATATCCAAGGCTCAGATCCATTCCTCCCCACCCTTAAAAAAATAACCTTTATTGGCTCTAAGGAGCCCAAATCTATTACTCTACCTCCTTCATGATGCGTTTGGTTGCCATGGTATCAGGGGTGTACAAGATGTAACCTTGAATCATCGGCTTCATAGTCTTCCAAGCCAGCTGTCCGATCTTGGAAGATTCAATCTGCTGCACCCATTCACAGTCCTCTGTTAAACAAGACATGACCAACCTGATGTTGAGAAAGAATTGCTTACAAAGAGACTAAAGCTTTCAAGAAGCAACACGCCTGATCAAGAACTGATTCTATAGGGCTCTATAGAGGGCAGCCATCTTGTGTTTGAAATTAAAAGCAAAGTAGCCAAACTGAGGCTGGAGGAAAAGATAGTCTGTTTCCTTTTATCAATATTTGACTTGGCATTACTTTTGCCATTTGGTACACAGGGGCAAGACAAAAATGGCAGCATTGTGATAAAGGTCTACAGTTATTAAGTCCTCGCACATTCTTCACGTCTGTCATAAGTCATAGAGGTTTTAGTCAGCCAAGTCACAGTCTATTCATGTGAATGGGAACACAGGCATTCCTTTGTTATTTTTAATCTTGTTATTTTCTGAAACAGAGAACTCTGTATACTACATGTAAATCCTCAAATTTGTTCAGTGAAATTTTTCTTGAAATCAGTCCGTCTTTTCGCCAATGGAGAGAGATGCTCTGTTTTGGAGCGAACCATTTTCAAAATACCCAACTGTCAATAACAGAATGCTAGGTCAATTATTCGGGATATGCGACCAGAGTAAATGATCTTGGCTCTACTTACCTCTCAGGGCAAGTGTGTCATTTTTGTCTTTGTCTTTCTCTGGTGACCGCGATGATGTCGTTCGACTTAGACCTGGCGAGCTCGACAGCTTGTCAAAGCCATTGAAGCTACCCCCAGTTCTGCCCAAATCGGTGAAGTTCTTGATGCCGCCCACGCTGCCGCAAATCAGCTGGTTGGTGTCATTGTTGTTCATGATGGAGTCAATGTCACTAAGGAGTTCTTTAAAGCTGTCCAGCTCGGCGACCTGAAAATGGTGAGATTTAATGAGGGTTTAGAAGCTTAATCATGCACAAAGAAAAACAGGTTCTGGGTATGATCGCAGTTTTATAAATAGGGGTGGGCAACATGGTGAACACTAAGTTGAACCACACCTTCCGAGGTATTTTTAAGAGTCTTAGGAATGTTTGCTGATGTGTAGGAAACCAATGACACCTTTATAGCTCTTTAACCTGTCAAGGAGCATGAAGCCTCATGTGAAGTGATAGTAATAAGAATCTACATGTAGCTTCCTAAATGTTTCACCACGCCTGCCAAACCCCCTTGTAGATTTTGAAGGATCAAGAAAGCTCAAGGTTCATCAGCAAAATACCGATTTGCAGAATTTATTCATGCAAACTTCCCCTCTTTAAACCTAACAGGCCAAAATCTTCCAACTGTAGGAGGATTTAGGACTTTTCAAGTTTATAGTGAATAAATACGCCTGAGATATGATGCAGGATACAATTTGCAGCTAACAAGTACAGAACTGAAGAGAGACAGCTGGGAATGAGGTCAGGTACAATCCAAAACACGTAGACTTGGTAATAAACCATTTGGGACCTTTAAGATAACAGATTCATTCAGTAAGATTTCTCACTGTACACATTAATGCATTACCTCACGTCCAATGTCTATCATTTCTTGTAGAATTTCCTTGTACCAATCCTCCAAATCGGTACCATTCAACTTGAAAGAAAACGAAAGTGAGAGCATATTTATACAAGAATGATCGCAATTACTGATGAAGTGCTTCCTGAAGCTAACCGAAATTGTTTTTGGACGTCAAGGTCAGATTTCCTTTTTGACGTTATAAACCAATCAGTGTGGAACAAGTTTTTGTTAAGCAAAGGAATCCCTTTATAAAGTGATAACACGGTCTCTCTGGACTTTACTTATGGGGTAGCAACTTTGGTTTTTCATTAATACCAACTTACAGAGTTCCAGAGTGCAGGAAAGTCAATCAGCTTCTGGATCTCTTGAGACAATTTGTCCAGGTCGGTGTCCGTCAAGTTGCACAAGGTCTCGCTTAGGTCTTCCAGCTGGGCAGGGTCTGTTGTCGTGACATAGTTCTCCAAGAGGGTGGTGTTGCAGACGGTGTTACGCATGTTGTGCCCAGTCAGTAAAAGCAACAGCTGCAAGGTCAAAGGCCAAAGGTCAAGGACTAGTTATCGCACTCCTATATTTTCCTTAAGAAAAGAAGGCAATGCCTCTCCCCGAGAGAGTCCTTAATGGATTTCGTGGTCTCCGCCCCCCAACTTTGCTTTCAGCTGCATACATACCAGTTGTGGATTGTTGATTGAGCCTGCAACTAGTTTGGCGTCTGCTTCGGACAAACCCAACTGTGTCTCCAAGTACACAATCAACTCAGTCTCGTTGGTCAGCAGATTGTACGACAGAGGCAACCCTGCAAATAGTCATGAAAATCAATTGATGAACGGATGACATCTACTGGTGAAAACTCAAGGAGTAGCTGACCCAGAAGGTTGAACCAGATAAAATCTCCACAGAGGTAAGTAAACAGAATTCACACTACTGGTTAACAGCACGACATTCATAACATTAATCCTATTAGATTTTTTGACTGACCATATTCAACGAATATCTGATTCATTAACTTCATAGTGCGTAATTATGGCAAATTGCAAAAGCTCCCGATAAATTGAGATGCAGGGTTGATCAATTCGATCAGGCATGTTAGACAAGTTCTACAACGAACTCATAAAGTCATCACGTCCAAATTCTTAATGATTTTGCCATCCGAAACCTGGATTATTCCAAAGAGGATATTAACTAGAAGCCAAAACCCTAAGACCTACTCCGTATTTTGACAGAGCAAGCAGTGGATAATGTGAAAGAGGGAATTCAAGTATGATATCTTCACCTGAGGTCTGCTGCAGTGCATCGCCGAATGCCTTCAAGCCATCTAGGCCAAAGAGACCACTTGGAAAGGTGTCACCGCCAGAAATCTATCAAAAGGGTATAAATGAACAGACAGAAAACTTATCATGGGTGGACTCACCGACCAATATTTGACTTTTGGCAAAGTGCCTCAAATGAATGAAAACACTAGGTTTTCTGTTTCCCATTTTGATTTGAGGGAGAACTGTGATATGGCCCCTGCTCATAAAAAATGGCCCTGCAATCAACCTTTTCATTTTCAGCACTAACACACATCCAGAAATTTCACACCATGGCCCCGAAAGCTTGCTCTTACTTGACACAGGGGCGAATTTCAAACAAAGCTGACTCAATGGACCCTTCACTGCCCAATACGACAGGACTGAACTGTGTTCAACTTCTGCAAATGGGCACTACAAACGTACCTGAATGCCATAAATGATAACTTTCCAATTTGCTTTGACACTGATTACAGGTACAAAGTGACACTAAGGGTCCAACTGAGTCTCTGAGTTAAACCACAGGACGGAGTCTTTCCTACCAAGGGGAGCAGCTTGTTCAGGTCAAGCTGCTTGGCAAGGACCTGGGTGACACTGGCAAAGTCGGCTGAGGTCAGGTTGCACAGTTCTTGCCGCATCTCATGTAACGTGGTCTCATTGGTCACGTCAAACAACTGTCTGAGCCTGTCCTCGTCACAAGACGCACTCTGAAAGGTGTCAGCATTCATCAGGGCAACCAACTGCATTGGTTGATTTCGAGATGAAAGGAAAAATAAACAGTTGACATATACAGGTGAACATTTTCTGATTTTGCTGCAAATGACAAATTCGGTATTGACAAAACTCAGAGAACTCTGGTAGGCATTTTGTGTTAGTAATTGTGCACCACTGGTATGAGAAACAATAAAGAAAACAATCTCCAAACTCTCCGTTAATTGCCGAACAATCCAAAACCCCAAAAAAACGGTGAAATGTATTAACCTTGGCAGTGCATCCAAATCAGGATTTTGTGAAACCAAGTACATTTTGTACATTCTGTAAACATGGGGTAGATACCGACGTTGAACATCCCGTCACCCTCCCTCCCTTCTCCTGGCTCTCCCCTTCCCCTACTCAGCTCCCATGTGTTTACTCCTCTCACCTCCTGAGCGCTGACATTGGAGTTCAGTATCGCTTGGGTGACTTCCGGTGACAGGTGGAGGTCGTTGGTCAGAAACCGTTTCACCTCATCTGGATCATTCAAGTAATCAATGAGGGACCGCGAGCCTGGGGTAAAGTCGATGAAATTAACATCTCAAGCAAATAATGGAGCAGGTGACACTTAAAATCCTCACACAACACGCATGTTTTACGTGCACAGGGGCGTGTTTTGGTGACCAGAAACATAAACATGTTTCGACTATGCTTATTGGTTTTTGTTCATATCAAGTTCCGATTGGAGTTGGTTCACTGACGGTGAGGTCCATGAACACGTACATCATCATCAATGTCTTTAAAGGAATTCTCAAACAAAAGTTTGTGAAATGAGAGAACCGGCACTTTTCATTTTGAGCTTTGCAAAATTTCATTCAGTCAGAAACTATTTCAGGGATTTAAAAGATGGGACTGTTTTTAAAATCCCTTATCTAAACTAGTACATCATAATCTGTAGGGAAATATGACACATTTATGACGTAATGTGACATTAGACAAACACTGTACATCCTGCACTAAAGTTTTGGGCTTGTCTCGACGATAATAAAAAATCTCTAATCAATAGCCTACTCAAGGCCTATCACCTGTAAATCCAAACTCCTATGCCAGTAACAGACATGTACATGGCCAGCCGCACACAGTACAACATGCTTTGTGTGGTGCGCCCAGACTAACTGCATACAAGGACGTACAGGTCCATGTACATGTACGTAAATGTCATAATAATAATGAAAATTTACACATGTATAATGCACCAAATCCGAGCATCGCAAAACACTTTTACGAAACAAAATACACATGTATGCATCAAATACATTATGACAGATGCTGAAAAAAGGTCCTAACATTTTGAAAGTCACTAAAACACTTGTGTAAAAAGGTATAAACACTGTACATGAAAGAACATTTACCACAGGTCTAGACTGTTGAACCAGGAAACAACAATGTTTTCAAGGCTACTTTAAATTCTAAGAGTGATAAATTGCAAATATCAACAGGGAATTTATTCCAAAGAAAAGGGCCAGCATGAGCGAATGAACGATCTCCCCATGAGTTATGAGTATGTGGGATGACAAGCAGGAAAGTATCAGATGATTTGAGGTACATGTACCTTGATAGATTTTACAGAGATAACAAATCAGTGTTTTATACATGTATGTACATGAGCCAGGTCTGTTTCGACCAAACAAACCAGTGACAACTGCCACATGATGTACGACATGCAAACGACATATACATATGTACATGTATGGCACTACAGTGGTTTGTTCCTTGGCAAGCCCAAATTAAAGCATGCTCTGTACTTCACTATATTGGTTGGTACTGCAGCGGATTACTGTGCCGTGACACTACAGGGTGTCTCCAATTGCCGTGCTTTGCTCGCAGAAGCCTGATTCTCTCCCTTACATGTAAACAGAAGCTTGCAGAGATCGCATCGGAAAAGGCTACGGTACCTCCTAAAAATGCATCAGTGACATTTTAACTGCATTTTCAATCCGCTTCGCTTCACTTGCATTTTGTGCAAACAAGTTCTATGACCTATTTCCAAGGATGGATTTGTGCCAGGGAAATTTAGTTCCAGGAATTACATGTAAGTTACATGTTTATTACACACACACCCACGCATACACGTACCTACATGTACATATACTGTAATCTCACACTCATGTACATGTAGTTCCATACATGTACGCAATCCACTTGTGTAACGTAAAACTGCCAAAAATTTAGCAGATGTCAAAAGAACACTTGGTCTGTAATCCATCCTTGTCTTAGGTTGACCAGGAAATACATACACCAGTGTATGCATGTAAATTGAGCAATAAAGACTCTTTTGGAGGCATCAAACTTACATGTACATGTGTGTACCGGATACACGTTCAGTGTACTTGTGATTTAATGAGGACCTCGGATCTGGTCAAGCTTACTGTTTCATTTTACAGAGTTCCAATTCTAACTTTCATACTACCTGCACATTGTAACTGGGCTGAATCCTCTGATTTCAGATGACTTTGGCTTGTCAATTTCACTTTCATGATTTTTTATAGCGGTACGGTGGTAGCGTCCCTGAATTTTAGCAACTGCTGAAACATACATGTACATGCACATTGTAGGGCTCAAGGGAATAAATTTTTGAGGTCACATTGATAAGACTGCCCTGGGACACATTACCCTACAATGTAAACCTAGGGGCCTACATGCATTATATTTACAAAATCATTATGTCACATACAACACATCTGAGATTCATTAAGCTCTTATTTCAAGGATACAATTTATCTGCATTAAGGAAAAGGCATCTAGGAGATTAGAACGAAGGAAGATTCACCACTGTCAAAACACAGAATGCAGTGTAGTCTTGTACATAGTTGCTATGCAAATGGATCATTCTATGAATTTGGGGTCCAATTGTTTTCCCTGCTACTTCTGTCATATGACTTTTTAATGTTTAGATGTCATTGTTTAATTCCAAGATCAAATAAGTACTGCAAATTATCTGCCAAAAAATAAAAATACTTTGAAATCAATTTCAGTGATACATGTACATCCCTTGTCAAATATGTCAGATGGTACATGTCATAGGTAAACAGGGACAGAAAAACGCCACACTGTGGACCCAAAATTTACCAAATGACCCAAATGGCTCTTCCTATAATTAGGTGTCTGAATTTGTTCATTTCTGACATATGTTAAATCTGACTTATAATTTTGAAAGTTCATAATACATTTTCTAATTTCCAAGAGTGAAGAGTTAGTGTAAATTATATGTACCTACCAAACAAACAGTAATAGTTTGAAATCAATTTCCGTGATATTTCCATGTCAAATTACCCAGGACAGGTGTAACAGAGATAACAAAATGTCACACTGTTGGACCCTGAATTTACACCACACTAGTACATGTAGAATGACCCAAATGCTTTATTACAAAGTATGTAATGCATTCAAGGACTTGTTTCCATCTACAGCCGTGTCTCTCAGCTTTGATGACAGGTGTATTTATGTCCGTTTTATTACCACAACTGTTCCAGACAAACACAACCAGTTGAAGCCTGATCTCTATCAATAAAAGCTACTGTCATGACTGTAGGCCTACATGTACACCAGTATAATTTTGAATGCATGCTGGGATGGCTGACGAGACTGTAAAGACTTAGGGAAACAAAAAGAAGGGAAATTCATTGATAATGTCCCATGCCATGCTGTCCAAGAATTGTATCTCATCAATTTTATACAGACAGGATGCAGGCATGACAGAAGTGGAACAAAGGAATAATACATGTACAACGTACATGTAAATGTGCTGTGGGATTGTGTGGGTCTTCTGTTACCATAGAAACATGAGACCAATGCATACCCTGGATTACTCTTCCACATTCACTGACAATACATGCACAGAAATCAACTGTACACTTAGCACAATGGCACTGTCTGATTACTTCACAAACGTTTGGCACGCTCAGGGTACACCGGTTCGCTCTTATTTTTCTTTTTCTTCCTGCAGGCACTAAATTGTGTTTCAAGAAAGGTAGGAATGGACATTTACAAGATTGTACACTTGTAGAAAAACCAGAGAAAAATAGTGAGTGGTAAGTACAAGATTCAAGGACAGATCCAGGACAAAATGTTTTGGTGGGGGAGTTTCGGTGATTTATATTTGTAATCCTTTACAGCTTTCCTGAGGAATGAGGCTACATTCTGGGGTTTCTGACAAACACTTGGAAGGAAGTCAAATGACATACATGTACACGTATTACGGCCCCCCCAACAAAATCAAGTTTTGTCTCATTATTTTCAAAATCAAACAAGGTTTTACTCCTTTGGGGGGGTCAGGGTCCCTCCCTCCCTCCTACCTTCCCCACTATCCATTTACCAATGGCTTGATTCATCATATGTACCTGTAGAGGATGTACTCCAACCTTGTTTTCACTGAATGACTGAGCAAAAACTACAGTACTACAAATTTAAAAACTACATGTGCTGTAGAAGTTTACATGAGAATTTGAAATGTGCGTGCATGCGCACGTACATGTAAGCCTGCCCTAGAGTCAATCATTCTTGCAAAGATCATTTTTTTTGCAGTTTGGGCGCACTACATGTACATGTCATTCTAGAGACAGAACTTTCTGAGAGTTCCTACATTACTTCTTGTCTCCACAATGTGTGAACTTCAGGTTGCAGGTTCGCGCCTCTTGAGTAGAGAAACATTGGCATGAGCAGTGAGCAGAAATACATGTATACACAAGAAATATTACTGGCCTAAACGTACTGCTGCAGTACATTTTGTTGAGTACACAGATGTGACCAATGCATAAAATTTGCTCTCCCTTCTGAGAACGGTACAGTTATGCAATGTAAGTCAAGTCTACATGGGCCGGCCTACACACATACCCAACACCCTTGGTTACAAAAGCCATGAGATATCAGCCAGTTTGGGCACTTTGGCCAGACAAAAACAACTTGTGCAGCCCAAGCTGACACAAGATTGGCTTTAATGTGTATTTTTGAAGCACTTCATGTCAAACTGGTAGGCCCTTAAGCTTGCATGTCAAATGCATGATAAGTTGGTGCATGGCACATGAGGAGACAAACCAGCCCAGTAAGTGCCTGCTCTTGTCTTCATATCATTCTGTATTTTTTTTTCAAGTACCCGGTACAGATGTGAATGTGATTATCGCATATCAAGGAGATGTCTATCTACATGTACAGGTACAGTACATCAACACATTGAAGGACAGTTATAAGTGACCAATATAAGGACAGTTACAAGTGACCCATCTGAGAAACATTGATATCAGTAGCATTTTAACAGTCTGACTTAAGTACTGAGCTGATTCTCAATATCCATGTAAAAACGTACTATTACGGTACGTGCAGGATTTTTTACCAGGAGGAGAATTCGACCAACTGCCTTCAAAAACTACATGTACACAGCTGGTTGAATTTCTTGCTTTTCTTATGTGGTCCAATACCCCCACCTTTATCCTACACGAATGTCTTCAGATTAGAATTGACTTGTTTTATGGGTATACTGCCCTCTATAACTGCACCATCGGAATAAAGGAATAGGAACACAAAACCATAAATCAAAAAATGGGGTCATTTGCCCCCCCTCCCCCAAAGTATATGGTTGCATTTTTCAACCCTGGAGACTTGATACATGGCAGACAGATTATTTGCATAAGACTGATTTCAAAAACTGAACTACAAGTTTGCCCATACATACACGTACATTCGTACATTCTTTATCTCTTTCCTTTGGATTTGAGACCAGGCCGTGTCAGTGTACTGCAGTTGGGTATTGGGACCATTATCAGCTGAATGCGCAAATTCACAGGGAAATTCTCACCCTTTTGGTAAAGTCCATATTTGCTTGAATCTTTCAATGTTTGATACCTTTCGGTTAAAGGACATCAAGCCTGACCCGAAATATTTTGCCTGAGTGTCAGCAAAAATCAAAATTGTGCCAATCGATTTACTCAGCTCCACGGTAGGAGTTTGCATTTAGGCAATTTTATAACTGATTAGTAAGTTACACACTAGTTCCTTGTTTGTAATGTGATCTGTGCCATTGGATTTCCAACTAAGCAGGTGCACACTAAACATGTTGTAATTACACCAGGTGCAGATCGCACGTCAAATGAAATTTTATGAAAATGACCCTGTTATCTTTTTTCCCGACGCTTTTTCCTCCCCATCCTAAAAACAAACATTTGCTTTGGACACTATGATAAACGATTCACCAAATTCAAGTGCAGAGTGCACACAGCATATCATTTGAGGAAAGTTCGTAGATCTTGACAACAGGCAATTCCAAAAGCCTACGCCTGAAAAACTGACAGATTATCACTCAAGCCAGTAACAACCATGCTCACAGATGTTTATAAACGGACTGCATTTTCTGGCTAAGACGAGTGTCGACCAATGCTTGTTTTTTTTCCCACAAACAATTTTTTTCCCACAAAGAGCAGACTTTCAGAGGAATCAAATATAAAAAAGTATGCATTTTGGAATGCACATGCTTCACATGCTGGCAAAAAATATCACACATTCAGATTTCCCACAGCACTCAAGTGGTTTGTTCAAGTACACAAAGTCGTGTGTGGTGCAGTTCCTGAGAGCCAAAGCTGGCTCTCGGTGAATTTTGGCAAGCCATTGCATGGATGGCAATATTTCTAGCAACACCATTATGCACGTACCATACATGCACGGACCACCAAGCAACCACTGACGTCAGTGCCAACCTACGTTGTATGTACTTCCAAAGTCTGAGCATATTAACATAACAATAAGTTTCAGCTACTGGTTCGTGTCTCTGCAGCTTCAGTCCAATGGTCTATGAGTTTGCACAAATTTAGTATCCGCCCTAGTACAGTATAAGTTGGCTCATGAATTAATACCACAGATGAAAACAACCACTTATTTACATGGATTTTTCCTCAGTGAAACTTGTAAATTGGAGGGTACATACATGTACATGGTTGGGGCAAAAAGCTGACATATACCTGGTGGAACAAAAACACCTGTCCTCCAATTTCACTATTTCACCCATGTCTAGCGACTAGTCCTTTTCATGAGAGACAAAATGGGTCTGTACTTAATGTACACGGCATATGAATCCAATAAAACACACATGTATACTGTATATGTAATTCATATTTACTAAAAAAAACCAACATGTTTCATACTCCAGTTGACCCTAATATTAAGTGCCACTTTCAGTATTTTTGTCACATCTCATAGTCACAGTGGACCACTTTCTGAAGTGTTTTTGAACGACAATAAGGGGGGGGTAGATCATAATGATTTTTCATAAATATCAATTTTTTGAACCCTAATAAATGTCCCTGAGTATTTTCAATTGAGGTACACTCTGTGAACATTACATTGAGATACATTTTGTCTGAACTCTTACAGAACAAACTTGGCAAAACAAAAAATTTAGGAAAACTGTTTTTCTACCAAGTGTATACAGAGTACATGTACATAAACCTTTTGCCCCAACATAAATTAACATGAATGTACCATAGTGGATCAGGTTTGTCAGAGACTTCATTTGGTACATTTCATCTGTAAACATTTCAGTAAGTACTAATAGGTTGGCTTATCACAGGACACAAAGATCCACTACTGCTGGTGAATTTTTTCACCATCAAAGTAACTGACAAAAGTAATCAGTCAACTTTTCTCTTGCAAAGGGAATTTTCACAGACTTTCAAGGACCTATATAGTTCCTGGAATTTCAAGGACCATATAAGTCCTGCCAGTCAGAGTGCAACAAAAAACCCACAAGTACATAAATTTGGGTAAAAGCCTGCCCATGTGCGCACAAATATTTCATTCAGCTTGACCTTACACTGAAGATCATCTTTGTCAAAAGATGCTGGTCAGTTTCTGGCTCAGAGCCAAGATCTAGGCAGCGACCCGTCTACAAATACACAACCTTACCAGGAATTGTGTCTGCTACGTCATTCAAGTTGTCCATGAACGGTAAAAGCTTGTTCAGCTCAGCAACTTTGGTCAGGAACTTCTTCAGTGATTCCATTGTGGTCTTGTTACTCAAGACGACCTCAATGTCTTCCACTAGTTTGGTTAAACTGTATTTTGGATGGAGCAGAGATAAGACTTGAAATTACAAGGAGAAAGGACTGATTGATCTCTACTTATGCAGAAAGGACTGGTTCATCTCTACTAATGCAGAAAGGACTGGTTGATCTCTACTAATGCAGAAAGGACTGGTTCATCTCTACTAATGCAGAATGCATTGTGAATGATTTTTATCCAGTCAGTTACGGTACATCAAAACAATTCAATGTGCTCCACAAAAAAGGAGTTTATAACAGCCATATCATGTTCACTGTGTGCGCACAACATTTTGGTCTACAGAATAAAAGCATTCATTATAACCGACTTGTTTAATGATCTTTGCTTAGCAAATGTACATGTACGTACATGTGCATGTACACATTTGCTAAATACTACAAGTACAATGTATGTTCTGCTCTGCATATCTCCAAAACAAGCTTTGAGAATGGTCCGTTACCCGGCATCTCTGTAGTTATTGATGTGTCCCATAGTCTCCCCGTAGGTTTCCTCTCGGTGGCATTTGCTGTCAAAGTCACAGAGGAAAGATTGAAAGAAGGGCAGAAGGCCTCCTGAAGGCAGCGCCTTGCTCAAGAAATGACCTGATTCAAGAAAACAGATTGTACAAGAAATATTATAAACAATAAACAGCTGATAGGAACCTGAGAATTAAATCGCAGGCACAAACCATAAATGTGTAAAGGTGCATGCAAAGACCTTTGCAAATTCTTCAAACAATTCTGACCACAATTCCCCTCTTACAGCATATCTACATGAATGTACATATTGATCTCCATGTTTCCCCGCTTGGTCAAAATTTACACCAATTTACTCCAGAATCAGACCAAAAGAAAAAAACTGTTTTATATGACACTGCAGGATCCTCTTCTCAAAATTATACATATGTATACATGTAAGTGCTTCCACGGTGAAGTAAATGTTCTACGTACATAGTGTATCGGCACAAGTAATCAATGTGTACAAACTACAGGGGGAAAAGGACTATGCAATATTTGTCGACACATGGGACCAACATTTCTCTCATCTTAGAGAGAGGCAAGTGGATACCATTGGAGGGAGGGCCAATTATAAGTATCATTTCCAAACCTTCTTTCATTTGAAGAGTACTTTTTAAAAAATCATCATTTAATCAAAACTGTGTATTTGGACAGTGTACATGTACATGTTACAGTGTTATGTGGATGGAGGAGGCAACTACACTGTACATGTACATGGATGTACACTGACTTTTGGGGCATGTTGGGCAAAACCTAAGTAATGGAAAAGTGTGTACTGTACATGTACACTTCACATTCACTATGCAGACAAGAGGGGCTCTCTTTGACAAAGTTTGTCTATGGATGTGAACTGCATGTACAGTACCAGTACGTGTAGATGTCCATGCCATTGTAAATGTAATATGCAACGGGCCTACATGAGAGTTTCAGTGAATTGCAACACAACTGAGGCCAGTGCAAGGTCACTCACAATGCCATAAGCCAAGTGCAGGGACCAGCTATTGGTACCCCTCGGTACCCTGCGCCTGTGCCTACATGATACACAAAGCACACCGACTAAAAGGAAATAGGGCATAAACTGCAACCTGACAAAGGGTGGTACCATGCACCTGTAAGTGCACGCCTGTTTTTCAAAGCCGCAAGTCTTTCCTTCCTTGTATTTGTTCCTGACCAATTCTACATAAAAATTGTACAAAATTCTCAAAAACTACATGTAAAAGTTCCTAAAAGTGCATGTACATGTAACTAAAGTCTGAGTAACTTTCAGTATTACTGTATGTTTGAATACTTCTCCAAACTTTTGAAATCATGACCAATAGGAATTCTATACTTGAAGACAGTAACAGTACACATATTTGTGCATCATTTTTTAAAGGAGAACAGATACAATTTTCACTATGATTTCAAGAATAAAAAAAATGGCCCCATACCCGAGTACATACATTTTTCAACGTTGAAAAAACTCTTTAAACATGGCAAAAGTAAAACACAAGTCAAGCCCCCAATGCTGAGCAAAATCCCTGCCCAATACAAGCAGTATACACAGTCAGTCCTGTTTTCAAGAACGTTAACTACATACATGAGAATTTGGAAGTACTCAGATCTGCTTATATTTCTAAGCGAGAGCAAACATCTTTATCCCCGTGGAGCATACATTCAATCAAAGCAGAATTTAAATGTACAACTCACATTCATGCTTGGGATTTGGCAGTTCATCTTTTCTCACCAAGGCAATAATCATGAACATGAGGATTGGCCATACGATCTCAATCGACAGACGAAGCTGAAAGGGAAACAATCAGAAAGACGTGAAGTTGTTACATGTTGCCTACCGTCATGACCATGAGCATTTAGGCTTGCAATCTTCTTGAATCCTACAAAATCCTCCACCCTAAGTTTTCAAACTTTCAATCGACATCAGATCACACAGAGCGAGGAAGGTTAATGATTATCATTACAAAGCCAAGAACAAAAAGAAAACAGTTGATTGTCCGGGTTTCTCCACAATGACGAGGAGAGTCTTTTTATTTTTCATTTTTTATCCAAAATGGCTACAAAGTGTTTAAATTCAAAGTGCCTGCCAATGTTTCAGTTCCAACTGAACGCAAGTTTTCATTAGCTACAACACGTACATGTACATCCCACCAGAAAGAAGAGTCAAATGAAGACAATGTTCTCTGTGTTTTATCGAAGCAGCCACAAATGAAAAATTGAACTAAAATTATTTTTTTTAAATTACAGAAAGATCAGGACATGGATGATGTACTGATTTTTTTTCACCTGGCCTAACCAAAAACCTTAAGAAATTTGATTCTTCTGGGGGAATGTGACAAAATATCAAGGCCCTACCTTCAAAATCTTGCCAAATGTATAATTTTCTGATGCCAACTACTACTAGTCCATTTCCTACAGTCCTAATGTACAAAGTAAACATCAAGGCAAGAGTTCTATATCCGGCCACTGGCATACTTGATGCCAAACATAAATTCAACCTCAGCTTTGGAACATTTAAGCCAATTCAGATTAGGAAAAATTAAGACTGCCAGTAAAACCTGTCGGTGCTTATGAAACTGGAATATTGTGGTGGCTGGGCATGGAACTCTTTACAATAGAAGTAAAAAGTAACAAAGAACAAGAACTTAACTCCAGTTCCAGGGTAGAATTCTATAAAAGCCCCATTAGTACATGTTCCAATGTACATGTAATAAGTAAAAATAAATGTTTCTATCAAGGGATCTGGTACAATTAACTGGAAAATGTATGCATGTACATGCACAAATGTATCTTGTGAAAACAAACTTGAAACATACATGTTAACTGCATGATGGAAACAGTGGGCTTTGTGATATTTATTTGTATGAAGGTGTATACGAAGGGTTTGACTGTGTCCTTCTCCATGGTGTAACACCCAATCTCTGCACATGAAGTTTTGTGCAGTGTAATAAACCCCCCAAAGCCCAGAAATATGGTTACATGTATCATGTGTAAAGCCAAGGCTGTAGCAAATTATAAAGTAGGGTGAGTGCGGGAACTATCGACCAGGAGGAATATTCGACCAACTGCCTTCAAAAACTAGCTGGTCGAATTTCTTGCTTTTCTGATGTTGTCGAATACCCCCACCTTTACCCTACTTGCAAGTTGAACTGTGTGGCTCAACTTCTGGAAATTCTGCCATTAAAGAACCTACACGTAGTCCTTTTGTGTCTTTTCTCCAAGGTCCTTCTATAGTTCCAAACAGTTATCCCCAGAGCTTAAAACACAAGCCGTACAGGGCCTACACAAACATGTCAAAAAGTCAAAACATGCACAATCTTGACGATAGTAATTACAAATAGCAGTTCTGAAGATAAACCAAACTTTTAACACTGAGAAATGCTACTGATTATAAGTTAAATATAATAATAGGATAATAGGAGATAATTACAAAATTTAGCATAGGCCCACCTTTCGTCTTCGTCGTAAAGTGAAATTCTTCCAGCATAACAACTGGAGTTGCGAGAAGAACGCCATTCGGCAATCTGCACGCTGGCCAAGTAATTTAATTGTTCGAGCAAAACTAGAAGCTCATGAGCTTTAAGTTCAACTTTCAAGGTTTTTAGTCCTCTCAGTGAAATAGTCAGCTGGCAGTGACTAGTGAAGCTACAAGACCTGCCACTAATTTTTTAGTTGAGGTACATGTAGGGCCATATTCACAGCGACGAATGCACTAGTGACTGCACGTCTGAACATCAGCAACCATCCATGTCAGCAGCAAGCAGGCATATGGAGGGACGGAACGGGTCTGAGTTACACGCTGATTCCAATAACCGGGCACACTCTTCACTGGCTGACTAGCAGATTTTACTTCAGAATGTCAACTGGAGCCTAATTTTGCCCTGCCTGCACCTTGTCCATCTACAGCAAATATTATACGATTTGTTATCTTTTACAGCGTGATGATACCCATGATACACCGAGGTCTTCTGTCTGCCAGCAAGATCAACCGATTCTAATTCAGCTGTTACACCACCAACAAAAAGCGCTCAAGATGACGTGTGTTTACATCCTGCTCGCATAATGTGCCTGGCGGAGCCAGCCGCCGTGCACAGTTGATAGCGCCCTCTATCATTATTTCGCGCCAGGTTTTTTTCTGCGATGGGGGGGGGTAGGGGCCGGGGAGACGCTATTTGGGCGCATATGACGTAACATATGACGTAAACATAACTAAAACAACATGGCTTTCATGAATGAATACTGTATTCGTCGTGGACGGCGTCATCAAGGCATGATTTTTCTCATATGTACATATAGCCATAATTTCATATTTAATATATTTCTCAAAATGTGCCTGCAAGTCAGGCACATTTGAAATGTGGGCGCATGTGGAGTACAAACGGGCGCCAGTGAGAAAAAAAAATGCCCTGATGACGCCGTGCACGACGATTACAGAATTCACTCATGTAACGTCATATGTTTTATTATTCATAACATACCCGGCTCGCGTCCAGATAGCTTCTCTCGGCCCGGGATTTGAAGTCGTGATAGACGCGCGCTCGATCGTGGGTTCGTACGGAGCTTGTAATTGGACGGAGTAGAAAGTGTGACACTCAGACTGGGGGGGGAGGTAGTTGCTCTATAATTTTCCTGTCTCTTTTGCTGCTTCTCTGCTGGTCATCTTAAAAACTTTAAGAAATAACTTTTCACGCAGAAAAGGAAAATAATATGCCCACTCAAGTGTTTGGGTTTCACCATCTTAAGGGGGCACCGCTCTTCCCATTTAATGTTGGTATTTCAGTTCGAGCATGCAATGACTGCAGTGAACAACTCAATTTGTTTTCATATACATGTAGTACAGTGACAAGAATGTGGGAGCTTTTCCATTCATAGAGGGCGCTGTCCTTCTTTTAGCAGAGGGCGCTACTTGATTGGTAAACTGCAACAATAAGTCGTTAATGCTTGCCCATGACAAGGTTTGGAAGAAATACTCACGGGCCATCATTTCTTTCCAAACAAGCTATTTGACACAACGAACAAGCAAAAAAAAAGAAACTCACTCCAAGAAAATGAAGAAAAGTGTGGTGTTACCGCTGCTCTGCCTTGAATAACATCGCGCTTCAGCTCATGAATATGGAAATTTTCATTACGATAAAATTATAATAAATACTGAAGTTTCTCCCTTTTTCTTCCACAGAGGAGATGGAAAATCATATCACTAGACAGCTCTCCTACGCGTATTCAAGTTAAAAATCCTTTTTCATCATAGCTGTAGAATTTCATTCAGATATTCAAATGTTCGGATTCGGCACTAAAATTTCAAAGTATCAGGGTAGAATAGATCGGAAAGTTTCTCTTAAAACAAAAATTAAAATTGTACAACGTATTTCCGGGCATGTCGTCACAAAGTTATGTCGGGGCAATTTGGGGGGAAAAACATTCAAGTTTAATAGTTGAATAAATGAAATTTGTGAAAGAATATTCCATTGTCAATAAAGAATTAAGGATGTACATTTACACGATGAAAACTCAAAGAGCAGGGGGCCAAAGGAGAGGGAGTTCGGGGAGTTTGAACGACCACCTCCCCTTTTGGTAAACCGCTTGAGATGTTTGGATTTGTACCAGATTTGCACCAGATTAAATTGCAGAATTTAATGTTCGGCTCCTTTTAAAAAAAATTGTATATCGCATTTTAAACCCCTTCTGACTAAATCAAACTCATCAATCAACGCTTTCGTTTTATACCGGCCTTGAGTTTTAAAATATTTATTCATATTTAGCAAAGAAATACACGTGGCTCCGTTTGACCGGAAACCACAGTGTTTTGGAAGCAATGTCTCTTTTTCTAAACTTTTGTACTTTCTGTAGATTCTTCCAGCATCGGGACAAAATGGGTGTGCGGTGGTACGGTACGATGTGCACCGTCAAATTGAGGCTAATAATTTTCACTTAAAAGGTTTCAAGGTTTCACGTGTATTATGTACTGCCTATCCTATTATCCATTATGAAGAGTTGATTCTGCCTGATAGCTTGTGATGTAGTCTACTCTAAACATTTTGTTCATATACACAATGAAAAACAGTCCTTTAGAAGCCCAATTAACGGGACCTGAATAATGGACCTTTACGCCAGTTTCAATATTGACTCTTCCTCGTCTCCGCTGATCACCTAAGCGGCGAAACCCTTCGAGATGTCTGAAAGCTTCCGTCCCCGATGCGGCTGCTGTCATCAATAAGCTATAGGTCATCACTCCTTGTCCATGGTGTTTATGAGGTTTTGCTGTGTGGAAAAACTGATTAATAAAAAGCCCGCTACGATCAGGATTATGCACAGCCATGCTCTACATGTGATCATATACGGCCAATCGAAATTGCAGAAACCCAACGTGGAGCTTGCCAGTTCTTGGATTATATCTATAATTCATAAAGCATTGTTCGTGAAGTTTGTCGGTGACGAAGCAACACTGACACAAAGGCACAATATGGGGGACGTGAACGCGTCGTCAACCGTAAGCGATGATCCATCCACGCCTGCCATGTTGGCTGGCTTCATCTTCGTGACTCTCATCGGCGGAGTTACGAGTCTGATCTATCTTTGGCTGATAGCTACCACCGCGATGGAAAGTACACTCCACAGTGTGTCCAACTATCTCATGGCCAGTCTCTGTGTGTCGGAGATTGTCATGGGAATGATGATCTCTTGGTGTTCCTTCATTCTGATGATCTCTGGGACGACACACCCTGTGCTCGACTTCGCCATACCTATGTGTTGCACCTTCCTTACTCTAACTAGTTATTTCTTGAACTCAATCGCCGTGGCAAGTGACCGTTACCTGAAGATCTCCCGACCTCTTCAGTACCCTCGACTAGCAACAGCGAGATGCTGTGTGGCACTGATTGGTGCGATCTGGTGTGCCTCTTGTTTGGCAGGCCTGACTATGTACCTGACAGCATTCAGTAATTTTAACTATGAGAATTATCGAGCCCCCCTGCTGGTGTTGTCGAATTTGATCGTCCTCCCCAGCATGGTCGTGATGGCTTGCCTGATAGCTGCTCTTGTTCGCATCGCGAGGCATCAGCGTCGCAGGATACAAGACGAAAGGATGATATTTCAGCATCTCCAGGATCACGTGCAGCGGACGCAGCAGGAACTGCACACGGAAAGCGCCCGACAGCACCATCCTAACCACTCTAGCGACAAGACCACCACGTATTTCATCGTACACTTCACCACTTTTGTCGCAGCCTGGCTGCCGGCAAGTGTGTCCTACGACCTCACCGTCTTCAACGACCTGAATGTTCCCACTCAAAACGTCGTCCTCGTGGCTACTAGCATGGTGGCCATTGTCGACACATTCGGTGGCACCATGTTCCTAGCGTATGTGCAGCCGGAACACCGGCAAGCTGCCTCGAACAACTTGAAAAGAATGAAACAATTCTTCCTGAACCGATAAAGCCCAGGATCCAACATCAATGTTCCTGTTCAACGGCTCACAGAACGGTCGACGAACAACCTTAGAAATTAGTATCAAGTGACGGAATGTGTCCGATGAATCGAATCTTTACTCTCAGAAAACTTTTCACTCCGCATGTGTTCTTCAAGAAAGGTTTGAAAACACGTTATTGCAATTGTAGCTTAGACCAAAACGGAGTTTGTCTTCAGGAAAGACCATTTTTCTTTTATTAAAAGTAGACGCAACTAAATTCTGTTGCTCTGTTTCTCTCTTAACTTGTACAAAGCAAACCTTAACAAATAAACATGCACAATCTAAACTTGTCAATATTTCCGCATTTTAAAAACGTGTTTACTCCTCAGGCACTTTAGCCTCGTTTCAAACTAGGCTTCAACCACCTCTGGCAACTAATAAGGGTGTTAAATGACAGGCCTTAATTGTTTTTGTTATCCGAATGTGTAAATTCAGTCGTTATAACTTGCGTGAGAATTGGGCAAGGATATTGTTTGGATATCACTTTGGCCGCAAGTACAAATGATCAGTGGTAATTTTGAACCTATTTTTGGACGACGGGCACCAAGTATTATTGCAGCTCGTCTTGTTCCGGCTAAAAGCAACAAAAGACGAAACATCAAACAGCCGTGGAGAGGCACATTTACAAGGCCAGCCATCTCACTTATACATCTCTTAGTGCACATTACGTTTTGATTGCTGACTTTTTTAACCCTTTTCCTCTCACATAAATTTGTCAGTTGGGAAACCAGTTTCCCAAGTAAATTCTTAGTGTAAGTTTTGTTCCTTTTCAACAATGGCCTTTTGGCGAACACACGGCATACTAACCAAATTATCGGAAACCAAAAGGCGAACATGTACACAGTATAAAGAGCCCAAGCACTTGGTAAATGACTTGTCAACTGTATTAAGCTTGGTAGAATGCACGTACGCAAGCAGATTATCACACTATGTACTTATTAACTTTTATAGCGTCATTTGAAGACACTATTGGCAAGAGGATCCTACAATTTGCTCGCCCCCAAAATGGTCCTAACTGTTACAGTTCGTCTACAATTGAGCACGTGTCAGTCTTTGGCTTAAAAACACCGAACAGATCCTTCAAGATATCTAGGCCACTGGCAACATCACGAGGCACCGAGAGTCCCATAGCGGCTTTGGTTTTCTTTTGCTCTTCAAGAGCCCGTTGAACATTACTGAGGTACTCCATCTGTCTCTCGTACGAATCGTCCACCCAGATCCAATTGTTTGCAATCCATTTGGTGCCTTTTAGGACTTCACATCCGCCATGGAGAGAGAAGAGATTCAAGTCCCCCAACCAGCCTGAAACGGACATATACATTCAATCCATGACTGGGTTACAGCAAAGGCCAGTTTTTATCAACATTAAGCAACGTCCGAAATCACTTACAGCTACTACTGGCGAAATTACATGCTCCAAAGGAAAGCCGCTAGATAGTGGCTAAATCCATTTCCCATTGTCGCGTGTGTTTTTACCAGTCATAGCCAAGTAAGCTGGGTATGGCGTTAGTCGGGTGCAAGATGATGCTGCATGCTACTTTGTTTTTATCAGCACCCCTCAGAGGACACTGAGACGGAGAACATGCCCCATGAACCCCTTCCATTCGTCGCTGTGGTGCTTTGGGGCCCTCTTGCGGCGGTCTCTCTCATTAAAACAATAATACCACAGCAAAGCATTGGATTAAGACTAACTCCGCCAAAAGCATGAAACTTAATATATTTTCCAGAAATATCTATACATTTTTCATTCAAACACAAGTTGATTAAGCCCTACGAGAAAAGTATGGCATTTAAAATAAGGCATGTTAACAATTGAACAAAATATCAAAAGTGCAGACTGCAAAATGATGGGACGACCATTTGCATCATTTTACAATCTGCGCTTTTGATATATATTATCATATATTTGTATGCTTTACCTGTGCTCTCGTTTACGTAGTGATTATACCACAGGATAGCCTTTCCCCTTTCTGGTTTGATGACCAAGTTGGCGTCATGACAGTGATCACTCAGGTCATAAATCTCTGTCTTTGTGGCCTGCAAATTAAGACTAACGAATCGGTATGGAGGCTACTTTCCTCTACGAAATTCAAACATGTCAGAACTTTAGGCGTTTGGGTTAGAAAGAAACATAATGCGTAATACAGGTCAAAGATAGATCTGCAGTAAAGATAGGATTTTCTTGTTTCGTGTATATACACGATGTCTAATAAGGTACATGACATGTTTCAAGTGTCAACTTCTCATAACGAGGGTAACTATTAAGCTAATCGAACGCATGACGTTTCTGGCCACAGTTCAGGTTTAAAGAAAAACATTCAAAAATCTCATGTGCATTACTAGCCACTTTAATTAAAATAAGCACCCTGGCCATCATTAGACTCAGTTTTGGGACACAAAACTCGGTGCTTCCACCTTCTCGACGTCCTGAGAGAGCTACAATCTGTCTTACCCTGTCCGAATAGGTTTCATTGTCAGCGATTGGGAAAGCGGTTTCTCCTCCGCTCACATCGTCGTCAAGGTAGTACAGAATAGTCATGAATCTACACAAAAAGTTGTGATGCCAGCATCAGCAAAATGCGACAGAAGTTTCAAGAATAACTATCGTACCAAAACCTTTTTAGTGAAATTATGAATTTGTCTTATAAAGATGTTATAGCTAAACGATATTACAGCTCAGGACTGATTACTTTGCCACAATTTTCGCTCCGGTATTTTACAGTTATGATAAGTCATACAGTAACCGACGATGCAACTTGTCCTCCGATTTCCTCCTGCTAGTTCATATGCTAAGACTTCTCGTATTCTAGGGAGACCAAGTTCGAAAGATACGGCTGTGCGTATGTGGAAATAACTCTAATGGGAGCCACTTGCTAGCGGCTGCCAGCCTCTTCCTGACGATGCCACTGTTACTGTAAGCCGCAGCCAGTTTATTCGGACGCGGTGTATAAGACTCGAATGTAAAATCAGTCTGGCGCCCTCATTTAAGTCATACCTACAGAAACGACCGGAGACGCCGTTTACCATACATTCCATGTCGTCCAATTCATTGGAATCGTAGTGCGCGTGGAAATGGCCCCCGGTCTCGTAACGGACAACCTGAGGAGAGGTCAAAGTTCAACATCGACGTAAGAACGAAACAAAACCGTTACAGGCTAAACTTCAGAAGTTGATGTTTGGTGTTACAAGTCCATTTCGTACAGTTTTGTTAGTTTTCGAGAAATACGATACTGCCTCAGTGTAGTCATTTGCGTCTTTCTCCCTACTGTAACCCCGGTCGTACCATAGAGCAAAGACTTAGAGAGTCATACACATGACATCTCACAAAACAGTATAACCGTATCACTAGCTTCATTAATTAAGGAGATCTCCTAACGTCAGCTGACGTGTATATGACGTCAGTTCGGTCAGGCGTCCTTTATCAATTCATTCGCCAATTCGTCTGACGAAAAGACAATATTTACTTAAACTATTCAGTGACCCTTTTAAAATTTGAAAAGTTGAGAACTACTCGACATAAAAACATGATTATTAACAACCACATCGGGTCTATATACTAAGGCTTCTAAACAATCCATGTACCCAAATGGTAGCTAGAGTGAGTAATGTTGTTTAGTAGTGGTAACCAGGGTACCGGGAGCGCCGAAGCCAAGATTACTGTAGACCTATAAAGAAGTAGTTAGCGTTTCCTGAGTTAAATAGATAGCGCATGGATAGAGCTACATCAAGGATCGAATTTCCTGCCGTAATTAGAACACCTCATTCACTGGCAGTCGCTCCCAAGACTTGATTGGTGCAGCTCTAGGCATTGTGAATTTTCGCTTCCTATTCGACGCTTGGACAGGAGAGGGGAAGGTAAGCTTAAAGCATACCTGTAGCTGTTCACTCCACTGAACGATCTTCTCGGGTAACCTGGTTAGTGACACGACCCTGCGAGAGAAGAAGAAATCAACACGGCGTGGAAAAACAATTCTCGACAGGTGGCACACGTGCCCTGTGCCTTATTCGTGCGACCTTCATCTTTTTGCATGAGTAAAATGGGTGGAAATGAGAGACAAATGAGATGCAGCGGTCCCGAATTGAGCCACGGGCCCGCGAGGACTATGTGAGGAGTGAAACTTGTACGCTCAGGAGACCTTTTACATTATGGCGGAAACGCAGTGACAGATCTTGTTCCTCCACGATCGTACCAACAGCCCTTAAAGTGTGTTCCAAAAACGACAGTAACCACAATATACTTCCACCATCACCCAAGGGTTCCCTTAGTGTACAGTGCTCTCTCCGATTAGTCTGGTACTCCCAGGTATTTCCTATAGTGTATCTGATTACCAGCATCCTTGCCTACTTTGGGTACGAGTTAGTCTGAGTGCTCTAAAAAAAGAGCCACAAATCTTCAACCGCATTCGATAGTGACATTTCAACAGTTTGGTAAACAACCGATCAATGAAAAAGAGCAGTTCGATTAAAAGTTTTGCCCCAGGAGCGTGACTTGATAACCAAGACGAACTCCCTCGCTTCAATCTGCAATCATGCAAATGCGAGCAATCTATCTTTTAGCGTTCTGTAACCATTAGGTTGCAGGATAGGAGCCAATAAAAACGGTTGGTGTCTGCAAATCAACTTGGCTTTTAATGTCGGACGTACCGAGTCTTGTTTCAACATGTGAACACCATTTCCCCATCGAATTTAGCGATTTTAGGTAAGTCTCTGAACTGTATGAGCAACCACACACAGTTTGTGTCTGGCTGCAGTAGGCTTGGAGCAAATGCCTGTCCACGGCTTGTCCAGTTCAATTGTAGAGAGCGATGGGCCTTCACATTATGCGCAGGCTGACAAGACATTTTCCACCAAAAATATGGTTAACATTCGGGGGCGTTGAGGCGTTTAGATCAACTCCGCTTGGCGAGAGACAGCGCACCAAGGGGATGAACGGAAAACGAGGTCTGGAATTAAGGGAGAAACGTGCCCCACGGACACGCCAGCGATGCGCAAAATTGAGTGGAAAGCTGTAAATGCCTCGTCACGAGCGCGCATCTATTGTAATTTGTTACCATGGATTTTCGTCACCTCGTTCCCGTATATCGTGTGGTAATGTTAGACCTTAAGAACAGGTCAGGATTTGGAAAGAGTTCGAAAACAATCAGTCCTTTGCAATACAAAACATCATTGCATAAATGGATACTTCCCTTTAATTTGATTAGTCTAAATGATTGTAAAATAACATTCAGACCTCTTTGTAGGAATATTGAAAATGGGACATTCAACCCATTTGAACACAGCATTAATAAATAGATGATTTACCAATAAGAAGCAGTATTCATCCCATGCGGTAATTGGGTTCAGATGTTAAATCTGGACTCGGACTGCCACTTTTCTTCTAAATTTCCAATTATAGCATTGAACAACTAAGACTGTAATTGCAGTACACCAGATCCATTATCTCATAACTTCTTTGAACTGAAAAACGGAAGAGTAACTTTGTGTTCTTGTTTTGGGCTGTAAAAAGGATTATTCTCGAGTGCTTAAAACGTAATATTGTGCAGTGTTTAAAACACAATTAATTTTCATCTGACAATAAGGATATATAGGTCTCTGTAATATTATGATTGGACTTAATATTTTTAATAGTTTAATATTTTTTCTATAACACTGACTTGACATTTCTGACAGTGACTGGACGATTTAAAGTATACCTCTTTGAATATCAATGAATGCTCACTTTTTTTAATGTACATTTTGCTTTCTTTGATCCACTGGAGATCAGTGACTTTTCATTCTATGGCCGGAGCCTGAAACATCAATTTCTTCTGAAAGGATGTGCCATTCAGGAAACAATTTACTAATAGGTAACGTGAGGAATGTTGTCGTTAGTTCAGTGGTGTCGTCACGGTATAATCCATGGTCGCCTTTGGGCGACCGGACGCTTTACCTCAGCATTGATATCTCCCTCGCACGTTTCCTTTGTACCATTGATGAAGCGCATGCCCACAGGAAGTGTCAGTCGCGCGTTGCACTTTTTGAGTATCAACTCTCCATCCATTGCCAATCATCAATTGATCAGTCATTTTCAGTTGAAGAGTGACTCATAATTTATGAATCGTAGAGACCGATGGGTATTATTTCAATATTAGGGCATAGACAGCTGCCTTACACCCGATGGGGGGTGGTTTGAAAAAAGTTACCAAAAGAGACTTAAACTTGATCTGTGCAAGTGCAAACAAGTGGTGATCTTAATTATAGTAGCATGAAGACTCCTTTTAGTTTAATAAGCCAGTAATTGGGGCATGTTTTAAATAGTCGTCGCAACATGGACAGACACCATGGAGTAGTTATGGAAAACAATTTCAACGTCTTTGTGAGGAGCTGTTTTGTCAAAGCAATCACAGAGGTGACTAAGAAGGGCACGCTTAACCATTTTATCCTTCTAGATTTTAGCGAACGTGTGGCAACATTTTATGTCTCTCTTACGGGGTTCTCCACACCTTGACTTCATCCGATAGCGGAAGCCAAGTCGGCTTTTAGAAATGCAAGTCGCCTCCGCGCTGCCCTTGTCAAGCCAATTATGCAAAGTCGCCAAGCACAAGACCTTACAGTTTTTGCGGCTGACCCGCGAAGACGGAATCAATTCCGCGTAACCGCCGGCTCAACGCGGTCTGACACCCCCTCAGTAAATCTGTGAACGGCTCGTAACAGGTTTATGATTCAGGCGGACTAGGCTGTGCTTGGCACGTGGGAGGTTCAGGAAGATTACGGTATACTTTGATGCATGACAATCGTTTATCATCCCCTCTCATATTCCACAGTCGCCGTCAGATTGAAGATCATAAAAGCATTATGGGTCGAGACTATTCTATCAATCGAGTTTTTCTTGGCACCGTTTTCACCCATAGTCCGTTCGGATTCAAAAAGATAACGGCAGACTTTGTCTACTTCGAGTCGCCTCTGTGGATGTTGATCCTTATAATCAGATCTTACCCCAAGCAACGGAAGAGACACGCCATTGCAAAAGAGAATTTGACATTACCAATGCACAATATCCAATGTGAAATCAAAAACAAAATCGAGTGGGACATTTAAATGGGATTGTTTTTTTGGCAGCCAATATTTTTGGGTTATATCAGGTCAACTTTGCACCATTGTACTTTCTCTTTAAAAGAAATTTAAACCTTGCACACATTTAGTTTTGATTTCTCTCGTTTTAATTTAACATATTCTTATCTTCCAGGATTTGATGGTCTTGTGAGACGCTTTGGGGTATATTTACATAATGCGCAATAAAAAAAATGTACTCTTCGTCTTATTATTATTTAAGCTAATTTTTACGGAGCCCCTAAAGGGACAATTCTTTCAACTGTCTGTATTAAATACATTTCTTATTTGTTGCTCCTTATTCATTTTCTGCATTCATAGACTAGTTTCTTTTCCGTAAATGGTATGTGTCTTTTATTATGGAGGTCAACGGACTCTTGTATGGGCTGGAGTATCTTGTGTTCTGACCTCATTTTTTTTTCTCGCAGGAACGAGCCAGGGCGCAAAACACTTCCAGGGCCATCGTGAAGGCATTGTGAGATCGAATTCAATTACAGTGCATAGTCTGTTTTGAAGAGTTCGAGATTTTTTCATTTCCGTACGCATTATCCCTGGAAATGTAAGCCTTAAATCAAGAACTGTAATTTGGAGCAGAAACTTCAATTTGAACGAACAAGGTATCGTCATGTCTTTTATTGACGGTGTTCTCGGCTGAATGTTTCCCGACGTGTGACTCGACGTTTGTGAGGTTATCATTCGTATCCTTTGGATGTCTTATAAATTGATCCGGTTCATGAGATTATTACATCAATATGGGCGATTCACAATAGTGCGCCTCCATTGACCAATCACAACGCGCGAAATCTGTCGACCCCTTCCAAACGCGCATTGGATCGACAGATCTCGCGCATTGTGATTGACCAAAGCGTTGCAAAGTCTTGGAGGCGCACTTCTGTGAAACACCCGCATTGAGACACTTAAAACTAGCTGGAAAACTCAACTGGTTTTGACTTTATGTTATGATCAAAACATTTATACGGATGGAGTCCTCCAGAGCAATGTTGCATGTGAAGAGACCTGGATACAAGGCAACATTTCAATATGTTTCAACAATGAATCCAGCTCTTTCAAATTCTGTGAAATTGGTCATTATTGTCGCCTTGACAAATTGGAACTGGGGGGGGAACCTTTCACCATGGAGCTATTCACAAAGGAAATTTTCGAAGAGGCACTGTAATTTCGCACACTCCCATAAGAGTGTAAATTGCATTGCCCACCAAAAGAACCCAAACTTGAATAAATGCAAGGGACTTTGGAAAATTTTTGTTATAATCATCTGGGAATAAGAGGACAAAAATGACAGCAGGGTGAGTCCAGCTTACTGGTTGAACTATAATACCCAAGAGAGAAAGAGAGAGACGAAGCCTGGTCATCGTTTTGACAATCTGCCCTTATATCAACAGTTTCCTGTTGATACGAACGGCAGGTGGCCGAGGAACCGACGAGAAATGAGAAATGACGGGGGCGTGGGGAAGTCAGACAGGGAAGGAAGGAATAAAGCAATAAAAATGGAAAGGTTAAAGGTTGTGAGCACGGACAGAAAAGGCGCCGTTCATCTTTTATTTTATTCAAATTGTGCGGACGGAGCATGCAGGTGTCATTTCTGCAGGCGTGAATTTGAAAGGTTGCTCATGATGAACTGCGCATGGGATTTCTAAGTGTTATTTTCTTAAAATAGCGCTACATTTGAACGGTTTTGCCAGTCTCAATACGATCGTTTCAACCTGACTAATATTTTAGGTTGGTGGACTTCGTCCACATCTTGTATGTAGATCTAAGTACATGTACAGTACACTGTATTTGTTTGCCAGCAGTAAATATTTAGGCAGAGGATTATGCAGGCACACACCGACGATAGACGCCGCGCCGTGTGGCGACTACCGGGGTACTTCCTATTGGTTGCAGAAGTCTTGGCCAGTCTTGGGACTTTTACTGGCCAAAGTGGTATTTCATGCGCGCGTACGTGTGACTCCCGCGCGCAAGTGCACACGACACGACCGTTTTTAATAATGGCTTATACTTCTAAAGTTGTGTCCTGACTTACTTGGCTGCGGCTTGCAATTACATACGACTCTATGGAAAGTGGACTCAGCCTTAGACCTTAGACTAGTGTTTAATTTCAAGATGCAGCTAAGTCGCCGCTTAATTAGCCCTGACTCTGCAAACCCGTTTCGGGCACGGTCACACATCGGGACCTAACCTCCTCTGTAGCGCTGCGAGTACCGGGTCAGTGGCCGGACCCGGCTGGCCTAGCCAGGCTTGCTTGCTCTCCCGTATCTTGTTCTCCCCGTGCCCCGTCTGTCTCCAGACCCATCGCTCGATGTCCGCCAGCCGGTCGCTGAAGACCAACGAGAGGAACTCCTCAAGGGTAAGACGGCCGTCCGAGTCCGGGTCCAGACCCAGGTCACTGTACATCTGCAGGACATCCCTGTGTCTCAGGAAAGCGTTATCGGTGTTCAGGACAGAGAGAATTTCCTCAGTATCCAGAAACTAGGAATAAAAGGATATGTATCAGACGTTACTGTCTCATTCTAGTGGTGTTTACGAGCACTTTATCCACACTCAATTAATAATGAACGTGCATCAGTCAGAAAAATATCTTCACTTTCATTATCTCCCGTTGTAATTCCCATTCTTATTAACGTACATATTCATATAATCTCTCGCTAACATATAGAGATACATTTCGTGGATAGTTCATTTGGTATAGTTTCCAATAAAACCATGACGTACGGCTTTGTCGATTAAAAATTACATTCCTGTAACAAATATAGAGATATAGAGTATAATATTATTTCAAATGTGTAGTAACTTTAAAATTTGTAAAATAGTTTTTTGGAATAAAAATACCAAGGCCTAAGCAATGTTTATGCTCAGGGAGTCAACTTTTGCAGAGAAACGATCTCTGTTCCAAGTGTCTATTTTATGAAATGTCTTTAACGTAGGCTGCGGAATTTATGTTTAAATTGCTTCTGGATTCAAGCTCTCATCGGTGATTGAGGGGCTGATTCAACGTTTGGAGTGATTTATTCATGGCAGACCCGTCTACTGCAAGTTATTGATAAACAGCAGGCCGCCGGATAATCGGCTCGATGTGCGACTTCTTTGCTACTTTGACATACATAGAAAAGACAGCGCCCTCGAAGAACTAAACAAACCCTACAAAGAGCAAGAGCATTGAACCCCTCCGTTCCGGCGCTGACAGTTGGTTATTCACGTAGGACTTATTCTGCTCACAAACGTCCTAAATATCCAGACTCCAATGTGACAGGTTGATGCATTTTAATTTTGGTCGCGGATGGGTGTAAAAACACGAGCGGCAACGCGGGACTGCCGCTGACCAGACAAAACACACAAAAACTCGCGTCTGCGGGCGGGTGATGTCGCCTGTTAAACGGCGACGCAGAAAAAGTTGACAGCTCAGTGTTGCGACGTCCATTCAGTTTGTTTTTTCGCCGTTCTCGGCGAAGTCACTGTCTTAACCACAGGGGGGGTTCCGTCCAGGGACTGCGGTGATGGAAGACTGGCACACCTTAAAGTGAAATGGATGATGCTATCTGGGTTACTTCGACCCCCCCCCCACATAGAGAGAGCTGCACACGCCGTGCACGTACGCCTTTTTGCACCACCAAAATAACAGTTATTGTTCAATTTGACGGACCAGAAGTTACGATGCGGTGTATCCCCCTCTTTCGATAGTTTTCAGCTAAATGAAAAATACAGTTGGACTTCAGCTTGCGATATTGTACTGGGCGGATATATATTTAGGTAATCTCACTTAATATAGTCGCCGGTGTTGCTTTCAGATATCTTTTTGTTTCTAAGATCCAAGCTTGATTGCCTTCCCCGTCCATTGCAAAGCAAGATTAGATTGCTTTTAATCAAAGCGTCTCTTCGCATGCACTGCCAGGATTTCTTAACAGCTTAGGACAATCTCTCTTCTCACCGCGCAACCGCCTAAGGGTGGAACGGAAGAAAATTACCAAAAGAGATATCAAGCGCAAGTCAAATGTGATGAAGTTCAATATCGTTAATGCCTGGAGCCTCTGTGAAAGGACCAAAGCACACCACAATAGACGTTATGTACCACTGAAGGAATGATGCATGACAGGATTTCACATCCTGCAGTGGTCTGATTGCATAGCCTTGTCAAAATTACCTGGCTATGGATAAGACACATGCTCCCATAGATGAAACGGCTCCCCATGTGTATTATTGCTTGCTGAAGACAAGCTATTCGAACACAGCCAGTTTCAGCTAGTCAGTGTAGCTTCTTCCTCTACAAACACCTCGGTGTTATATCAACACAGCGGGGCATCCACAGCAAACCACTCGTACCAATTTGGTTAACACACCGGTGTTCTCCGTACAAAATGCCACCACTTACCAGTCACAGCGCGTGCTGATGGCAGCGTCTGGGATGGTATACTTGGTTCACCGACCATTTAACCAATTGGACAACACCACACTCCCATTAATGGATGTCATGGACCAATCGCCTCATGGAAAGCTGCCAAGACTTTTTTACACTTACAAACCCTCAAACGCACCTTTGAGTCTAATCTATGGGGACTACTCTTTTTTATTCTTATGCTAATGAGTATTCTCATATTCATAAGTAAAACTGTGACGTCATTCCAGGAAGAGAGTCTCAATGTATAACACTGGTTTGGACACGAAAACTTCTCTTTTTAAATACTGGACTGTTTGTGATTTGTTGTTGTCTATGTACATTGCATTAGTAAGCAATCAACCCTCTTTCAGAAATGTTTTTGATGAAACTCTGGGTTAATGTGAACAGAAAAAGCTGTGCGCTGAACTATGCCTTCCCTGGATGACATCACAACGGTTGTCAAGGAAAGCAAGGATAGTTTGAAATACTTCAACAAATAGGAATATAAAGTAGTTTTCATACATCAAAGAAGAGTACAAAGTTGCAGAAATTTGTGTCCAAGAAAAATTTACTCCAGCTACCCTTGAAGCCATTTCCCATCATGACTGCGTACGTTATGGTTGCTGCGTATAAATCATAAAGGTTATCACTGTGACCGAGCACAGATACATACAACAGGTTACCAGACACATACCATATCGTCATTGACGTCCAGGTCACCGAAGACAGAATCCGCGTGTCTCCGCTCGTCCTCTGTGTCCATCTCGCCAGCTGGCGAGTCGTGTCCCTCGTCTTCTTGCTCACCGTTGGCCGGGGCCTTGTAGTACGCGTCGTCGTTGACTCCACTGGGGTACAGACCTTCACGCAGCGCTTGCTCGATGATGTAAGCGCACTCCTCCGGTGTCAAGAATTCACGAATTTCTGAAAGTCCAGGTTTTAACATTCGATTTACTTTAGTATAATTGTACACTTAAAAAGTCGTACATCTCATGCTTACAACATAGTATGCTTAATTTTGAGAGGATAGCATAATTTCAATTATTATCTTTCCGATCTAGGCATATGTGCACGGAGCTTCGAAAACATGTCTTAATGCAAGAAGTTTGCTTTTATTTTTAAAAGAAGACAAACGTCATATATTGGTCAAAATTTCGAGCTCAACGATCCACGGTATTTTCCTGAGGCACGTATGTTTTTTACGGGAACACTTTTTTTCTTTTTCAAAGTAGGTTAGTTGCAGCTATAGGTTACCCGCTGCATATGTTTCATATCGTTGGCGTAATACACTCAGTATTTTAAGATGAGAATCACGCACCCCTCTTTATTTATGACAAATTACCGTGCAACGAAATGGAATTATACATAACGACGGTGTCAAATGGTTTCAAATGAATTCAACTCAGCAAAAATGCATCATATTTCCCCGGTGGCATGTTTGAAAGTAAAGCTAATGGCCGGATGGCAGCACTTCCCGCGGCGGTAATTTGTGAGTCTCACCGAACAGCGGTGGTTCCAGGGCTTTTGTTTCGACATGTAGAACCTTGCCTGGCTCAGCCTCCAACTCCCTCACGTAGCCTTTCTGCGGGAGAGAAAGAAAACGCCTGCACTTGAAACGGAAGGTAAACTCACGCTTCCTTTGCAGCGAGCGATGTCGGAGTTTCTATAGACACAGCTAAGATGTTACCCGGCATTTTTTAGGGGAATGAACGAAGAGGCGCCCCGGTTTTTTAACAGTGTGAACTGTTTGATGTGTGTTGAATGCAGCGATCGCAATGTCATTCATCTGCGCAGCGTTCAGATCATCAGCTTGCTATCAGCACGTACGAGCGTCAGGAAAGTGCAGCTTCATTTAACCCTTACTTTCCTACTTTCCTGAGCCCAACCAGAATCTTTCCGACAATGCACGTTCCTTTCGTTTATCCAGCGCAGCAAACCGCCCGCGCCCGTATGAAACACAGTCTGCTTGTATGTCGGGTTGTCTACTGAATAGTCTATTAGACAGCACATGTATACAGCATGTCGACACTGATAAGAAATTAACGAGGGGGTTGTGCTATAAACTCGGTCTTGCATATCGCATGCAATACAATACCCACAAGGAAGACATTTCCGTACCAATAGGCGCCTTTCAGCGATTGGAAATCAGGAGTAATTTCAACCGTTTAAAAGAGAACATTTCTACTGGTTTTCAGCCTGAAAACCATTAGCTATCGAACCTTAGAAGCCGTTTACAAATTTAGCCTCTACCTTCGTTAATGAAGATCTCTTTCATAGGAAACCTAAAAGACAGCAGGGCCTATTGAATTTTGCCTCATCGGTTTATTTTGTCCGAGCTTCCTGTTTCATTCGAAGATCCTACGACCTGGTGCTGACGGTCGCTAAGAGCTGTCATTTATTAGTGTCATTACCGTACCCTCTTGGCCGATTCCGTTTGGAGAAGAGACAATCTGGGAGAGGGGATGTCTGCTTTATATCACGGGCATAAATCTTGGTGAATGGGGGCAACTATATCACTCCGCTTTGGGCAACGAGTATGGGACGACAGAATGGTCCACGAGTTCTTCCCCGTTGGAAATAAGAACTACATGAGTGTTAGCATTGCTACAGTGTGGTAGGCAAACAGTCTTCCCATTTGGAAATTCCATTAGAGTTGCGGGCGCTTCTGTAGATCTTCAAGCAAAATAAACACCTTTGCTGTCAATGGTTAGGCCTGGATTTACCCCCCTGCCCAGACATTCACGTGACATTTCGGCATTTCCGCTTTCGCTCCTCGGAGTGTTTGTCCCGAGCAGATTTGGTGGAACTCTGCGGGTTTGGAGGATTTGAGTAGGGAGAAAAACAGCGCCAAGGACGCTGGAACCCGCGATTGAGGTCTGGTCGTGTTTGTTTAAATTTGGATGGTTTGAGGAAGGTGTTGTAACTGGATTTAAAATTTAGTCTGTGAAAAAAATAAACAAAGTCATATTTACGTTTGAATTTTCTCAAAAATTCAAAAGGTAGGAGAAATAAGCATTCTGCAGGGACTTTGTACAATCAGAAAGGAAATGTTGAGTTGACAGGTTCTCATTCTGAGTTTCTAACATACTATCGTCTTTCGTTGCCATACGTCTAAGGAATCTTCATTCGGCAAGGAACACAGGTCTTCAGCTCAGTAACGAATTCAGCAAGTCGAATTTGCATGTGATTCCATTTGATTAAGTAAAAAATATAAAATCGAACTCGCACACAAACGATGGAAATAAAATGTTGAGAAGGAATAAAAAAGGACCTATACAAGGATAAATGAGTTTTGTTTTGATGGAATAGAAACATCTGTTCGCCACAAAGATCTTTATCCAGCACATGTTTGTCCAATTTTGGGGCAGAAGGCACAGAGGTGGGTTGATTTATACTGGAGACTTGGTCTGGCAGATTAATTCTAGCATGCTAGGCATGTTTCAGAACAAGTGTTGTCAACACTTCGAAGACACGCTTCGCTAGTGGCACGATCACGCAGTCCGTGGAGCAGCGAAACCTTGGTTAAAGGTGCCGTTTGAAAATGGATGTTAACCGTTCACTTCAATTCTGGTTCGTATTTGACAGAAGACGGGTATTAATCGCAGTTGGGAAATAGTTATAAGATTTTCACATGAAACAAACAACGAACGAAAAACAGATCGACGGATGCATTTGGATGGAAAATCCTCGAGTCTTACGGCGTATAATGAATGACCCCAAGGACAACTTGATGTAGGCTCTCGGAATTATCAAGATGGGAATGGATTTCTCGATAAGTATGTCCATTGGTTCCGCTGGGACTTCAGACTCCGAATAAAGTGAATACGTGACTTCAACAGCTCCACCGACATCGTCGTAAGGAGAAGGCCGCTCTTAATTCGTCCGACGATTTGCCTTAGACTACCCACAACAACAAAGGGCGTGACGCGAATATGCAAGCTAGTGTCTGGCTGTAGTGCGACTTTGGCAGAATTCTTAATTTATACCACGTTGAATTATTAAATTAAATTTAACTGTGAGCGAACAGTGTTGCTTGTGAACAAATAACACCGAGAGTTTCACATCTGTCCGTCTGAATGGCACCTTAACCTTAACCATTCTGAACCAAACAAGTTTATGTATAATTTCCATGGTCTCTATGGGGTTAGGGTTAAGATCGGTCGAGGCAGATAGGGTGAAACATAATTTCTGAGCGATGATCATCTCTTCTGAATTGAACACAGATTTAAGGAAGACATAGTTATAAGCGTCAGAAACGAAACGGAACTAAATGAAAAGAATTAAGATAAAATGAAATGAACGAACAAAAAGAACACACAAAGGGCGTTTCTCGGTGTACAACAAAACGCGAATAGGCCTAATGTAAAACACTTTCCAGATTATAATACCAATCAACCAGGCTGCCAAAATCCAATGATTTTTGTATTGGATACACGCTGTCGCATTGAGCGAGCTTATGGGTTCTCTTTGACGACGACTGGACGGCAAAGGCGAGAAATCACAAGGGAGTAATTGTATATATCACCTAAGGTTTTACTCTGCACTTTGATGTAATTAAGTTCACAGCTATACACAATCTTCACCACTTCAGAAATGCACCAATGTGAGTGCTTGAACACGTACGGGGGAAGCGGACACTGTATTTACAGTAAACATTAAAGTTAATTACATTTTTTCGTCAGCTCAGATGCCTTTGAAGTCCCTTGTTCAATTCTTCAAAAGACAGCTCTAATGATTCTGTTTATATGAATAGAATTTGTCGCCTGAAATCGTGTTATTTTTACCCCGAAGCGGATTTTATGGACAAGGTAGTATGGTGCTGATGAGTGCATGTACATCAGCACCAACAAGATTCTTGGATGCTGTCGGGTACAGATGGCACTGTGTTTGAAGTCATCAGGAAACGCCACAGGGGAAAAGTGATCATTGGAACAACGACGGCTTGTAGGTGATTTATTCTAAATTGGGGCATCAAAATTATAATCGATGTGTCTTTAGGGGACATGATGTCTTTTCGATCCCTTGAATGATTTTTGGTTATTAGTACTTATAATAAAAGGGGAAAATGGTGAATTTCAAATTTTATGGCTTGAACATTTTATTACTCAATTTTTAATAGTTTAACATCTCACTTAAAGTAATTTTTATCTTGTTTTAATGCAGGTGTCTTTAAAGAATTGTTATTACCAGCAGGAATGTTTGATCAGTCAGTGAGAGAGATACGCAAGATGATATGGAAGCTAAAATCTTTCATTTTTATGGAGACAGTTTGCTCCTAAGGCAACTTTGACCAAGCCAACTGCAAAGATGAGTGTCACGCACGTGGAATGGTGCAGTCTTGGAGAAGGAACTCTTCTAAATCAAATATGTGAAGGCAGAAACAACATTATAGGCTTACTGTGGGCTACAAACACGCCCCCATTGATAAAACACAAAAAGCCTTGACCGACCGTCGGGTTTCCCTATCCACACTACGCGGCAACAGAACGAAGAAGAAACGGGAACAGTTTACCTTCCACCATGGCGCATGATGCACAAAAAAGGAACATGGATATGATTTCAACTGATGAGTTTTTGACGGGATCGCTCAACTACTAGGTGGCATCATGAAGCATCTTGAATCATTACTGAGAATTTGGACTGTGTAAATTCTGAATTTGAAGTCCAGTGATCCGAAGACAACTTTCTTAGCAAAAACGCCACAGCGGTGGTTATGCTATTCCAGTCCCTTATCAAACTGTGCTCATTGCTACTATGAACTATGAAAAATTTCAGATGCCATCGCACTGTAAACTCTTTGTTTCTATTCTCACGTACAGGTAACCTACCCCCCCCGGTATTTTCTTGTTTATGAAACTTGGGCAAAGAGGGCATTAAGGACAAATGCTAAGTGCACCGTTGTCTGAATACATGTCTGATAATACACCAAGCAAGCAGCCACAGGCCCGTTGTCGAGGTCCAAGATTGTAGGTCGTATTAAAAAACAAATGAATAAGCAAGTTTCTGATCTCTGCTGCGGGGTTATGTTTGGTTGCCTTTAAATAGTAAGTTCTTAAACTGAGGGTAAGACTGGGCAGAACTATAATACGTAAGCTGATCCTAAAATGATCGATGAACACCTTTTACCCGGATATAAATTGTAATCTGATGCCGAACGAAGATATTGTTGCAAACCCCTGAGAAATAACCATGTCTGCCTCTGAGGAGGGGAATTTCAAATATGTGCGTCTGGCTTATAGTCCACAAATTAATTCAGTAAAACGGCAAAGGGCCCAAGAGCACGACTGAGCAATCGTGATCCTACACACGTGTCCAGGCTATGAAATGTCTCGTGAGGGAAACCGGAGGCTGAACGATTTACCTTCGTTGAAAAGGGATTATGGGTTAATCCAGTACGCGTGAAATTTCATTCAGTTTTATGCAGATTCGCCGGATTACTCGATTATACAACTAGACCCGGTGGGTAAGATTCGTGCTTTTCTGGAGCTACTCGAAGCGCGTCCACATCATCTTTGACGTACGTTTTTCACTTTTCCACGAAAAGTACGCTGACGTCGATTTCTACAGCGCACTCGAATTGTTTACGGAAAGTAACACTTATTCGAATGCACGCACATGCACCTACGGCGAAAAAAACCGTCTGGACTGAATCAAGCAGTGGAAAATGAAACAATTGAAATAGTAACGGTGACCAAAGGAGGTAGGGAAATGTATTCCTTTTTACCGGAGAAAGACGAGGAACCAATCAGGTTTGAATCCGTAAAATATGCAGACAAATTAACTGACAGCTTTCTTCGTTGTAGCATTCAAAACAAACTTTACTCTTTTTTTCAAGATGTATTTTTGCGTTTGGGAGATATTAATTATATATATATAACGGTTTTTGCCCTTACCCAATGTATATTAATAAGCACTGTATGCTCAGTGCTTGTCCGAGAGCTTGCGAAAAAAAACCTCACCCGAGTAAGCTTGTGAGGTTTTTCGCAAGCTCTCGGACAAGCACAGAGCATACAGTGCTTATTAATATACGTTGGGTACGGGCAAACCGTTATATATATAAACTTTACTCTTGTTAACTAGTTACTGCTCATCAGTCTTCTCCGCTTTTTGTTCCTAAAAGCCGCCTAATAACTGCAGATACGAACCAGGAAGCATTACGCTAAAGGGACAAATTTGAATGGAATCATGATGAAATTGTTTGCTGGTTGAGTAACCTCTTCCCCAAACGAATTCAGTAAAAATACTGTCATTAGTGTGAGGTGAAAATAACCAAATCGAATGACACTTTGATGCATCAGATGCGGATATGTCCTCGCGTAAATCTGAAAGATTGTTAAAAAATAAAAATATCCCGAAAACCTATAACGAGAAAACTGCAAATGTTCAGCGGTTTTAATGGTAGCCAGGAACTGACAAACACAAGACACTGTTTGTGGGTAGGGTAAAATTCGGATGGGAACAAGTATATATTGCGTGGGGCCACCTCTATATACGACCTCCCGTTGCTGTAAATAAAACTTGAACGCGTCTTTTACAGAAGAATGTCAGTATTCAGAACTTGGAAGTAAATTCTGCGATGCCTTGCCCGCTAAACTATACCCAAGAAGATTCCTTCCTTTCTTTCTTTTGTTCTCCCCGATTCCAATAATGACGTTGAAGCTGTTATGTTATTCAGGTGCCTATCATAGTATACTACCAGCACGCTTCCAAGAGTGAAATACTCCAGGAAAAGCCTTGTTTATTAAAAGCTGTGGGTACTTCCAAGGATGGATTTGCACCGGGGGACGTTAATTAATTTTAAAGTTGTTCGCGGTACCCGCTGCTACATCTGACTCGAACCAGCCCGACGATACCGGCAAGCTCGGTGGTCGAGTGGTTAAGCAGGAGGTTGTGGGTTTGAGTCCCTCCCGGTACGCTTATGGGTTTTGGTTGGGTTGGGTTTTGGTTGGGTCAGGCACGAGAGCATTGTCAAGCTTTTAACTTTTACCGAATTTTCAGTGATACAAAATAGCAAATACTTTTCAATAAAAACGAGCACATTTCAGACGTTCCCAGCTTGACTTTATACCCACGTATACATTGAAATTAATGGTAAATTATTAGAACCATCGCAGTATCTGCAAATAATAATTTGTTGAGAAATAACCACTCATGAAGTATAGTCGTATTTTCTTAGCTAAATTCAGTGCACGTGCGACTTAACACGGACTTTACTGAACGTATTAAAATGGAAAATAATGGCGCGAGTACTCACCTTGACGGGATCCAGTTGAAACAGCGTCAATCTCTCCACAGTATCTCCTGGTGCGTCGCTGGACCAAACTAGACCAACGCTCCAGCTAATGACCAGATACACCAACAAAAGCCCATGTATTTGGCGCGCTTCTCGCCGACCTGCCTCACGTCGCGTTACGACCGCTGACTGCATCTTGCACTGCCTTGGATAGAATCGAGAGACGGGAAAACAGTTAAGACTGAGGCCAACACAGCCCGATCCTGCAATGACGTACCACCAACATCACCGTCATTACTCCAACTGAGAACTAAAATTGGCAATCTTTTTCTAGCGCGGATTGCCCAGCGTCGATGCTGAGGAACAGTCAATTCATGCTTATGAATCTATGCTTTAAACAATGACGTTGTTAGGGTAAGTTGAGAACTTCAAAATGCAAACTCCTTCATCAAAACAGAGACAACGATTTCCAATTTACTGATCGAGTAATTTAACGCTCGCTAAACGACCTTCGGGTGTTCCTATTTTAAAGATAGATATGACTATCCAATAGTTTGACGTTCTGGCTCATAACAACATCTCCAAATCGAGGAGTTCTGAACTGATCACGTTTTCTCCGGTCATTGGTGGCGATGCCTCGTGGGATACACACGCCTAAACGGCAGGGAGGGGGGGGGTTTAGAGAGGAAAACGCGCTATGAATTATTCCGCGTGATGTGTTCCTGCTCATCGTGTTTCACTTGATGATGAGGTTTTTCAGCGGCAGACCGGACATACGGCTGACTCGTGAAATACCACTCCGGCGTAAGTGAAGTCTCGGGTAACGATTCCCCCTCTCGACTTGAGCAGCTATGAGTGACGGGATAACACAGTTTGCACCACTCTCGCATGCCCGACAAGGAAAAATAAGACCTATCTGGACTTTGTACAATCTCGGCAGAATCGGTTGCCAAAGAGGTTAACAGAATTCATCTCCTAGTGAAGGATTTTACTAAGTCTGTGTGTCAATTGGACCCAGGCCTGTTTGTTAGTTCAGCGTAAAGGTACCTACTGATCACTGCAAACATACACTTGAAATCAGACTTTTCGGACCTTTTTTGCTGACTGTATTTGCAATTGTTTTCTGACGATTATAACTGAGTATATTCATGAGCGGTTAATCGACATCATTTGGTCACCTTTAAGTCCATACATTTTTAACAGCAAAGTGACTACGGCAAAGCTGCCCAAATTGCATAGCAAATTATTTCTTATTCGGGAATTTGTCATTCTGGCATTTTTACTTTCACAACGACATGGGCCAGCTGCGCCTAGTTAAGTCTCACGCGCGCCTCTTCAATTAGAATGCACCCATCTGACCGGCAGGTGTTCGCATCACATGCGTAAACCACGCGTCTTAAATGAAATCATCTTTTCTTCTTGAACGGCGTTTTCATAATTGACTAGTTTGCTGTGCATCGTAATTACATTGTCAAGACTAGCCATGCTGCAGATCTGCTATGGTTTTGTTAAGTTCGGTGCCTGCTCATTAGGTCAGCAGTAGAGCCCGACAGAAGTTCAGCCTCCCCTCGACAAATCTGATAGAGAAAAGGGGGGGGGGGGCAAAACATGAAAGGAAACAAAGAAAACAATTTTCACTATCTGATAACAATTCAACCGGAGTGCCCGGCTCGGTTTGAATTCTGGCGTGTTAATCCCCTGAATGCAGTCGACTCATCCATATACACGACCATGACACTGCGCGAGAGCTGAGTGCTTCGACTGGCTGGACATAAGAGCGTCATAAATATACAGGAAAAATTGCCGAACGGAATCAAGTGATCGCTTTTCATTACTCTCAGGCCGATTCCCGATTCCGGTTAATGGCCCCTATATTCCCAGCTGACGGGCTTTTATAAGTAGCGAGGTTTGATTTCAGCCCTAATCGGCCCCGCGTGACCCATCTCCGCCAATCCGATTTCGCGGCGGCGTTTTTGGTGATCACTGGGACAGACACCCGCGTTCTGCTTCAACGCTGGTCGTTTATCCTTCTCATGATAATATCAAGGAAGAGGATTCGTGAAATACTGTATACATAATCTTCTGGTGGGCTTGCAATAACGTCTGACACTGTTCTGCAAGACACCGATTTAGTGCATAGCACAACCTCATCAGCGACTGTGAAGAGACCTTTTCACTAATAAATTCATGATTATGTACGCATGCGCACAAATGGACTTGGCAGCAATTTTGATCATTTTCTCTCAGGTTTTCTGTCTTTGTTCATTTTTTACCTGCAGAAGATCTTCAGAAAATCCCATTAAATCGTTTTTGGTATTAGTTTCTGTTCTAAGTGGGATTTTAGTACTCTTTAAAAGATTTTACAATCGTAATTTTTCCCGTGCGGACGAGATTGCCGTAGGCCCCTATGTAAGCCGATTTTCTTTCGTGCTGTTTCATAGCAAAGACGATTTGATGCGATTTTCTGAAGAAAAACTGAACAAAGCCAGAAAACCTGAGAGAAAATGATCCAAATCGCACCCATGTACATTTTCAACGGCCCGCTCACACTTCTTGCCGCCGAGACCATTTGTGCGTTTCGTGCATAATTATGAATTTAATAGTGAAAAGGTCTATGTCTGCCTGTCTGCCGTATCCCAGCTCATTTTGCTTGCCTTCGGGCCAACTTCATTCAAACAGCCATTTTTGCTCGTATAGGGTTTGGGAAGTTTTACTATTTCTAATAGGACCTGGCTATACATGCTCTACCAAAATATTTGAACCCTACTTATTAGCAACAATGCAGATATTAGTAGGGAGCCTACAGCAGCACAAGTTTACTGTGTGACGTGCGAGTTACAGCCAAGTCTATTGTATTTATTACTCCGTCGCTATTCAACCTGGCTATGATGTGACATGATTTCCCCTGGGTCTTTACTCGGCCCTTTGCTCTACTGGAAATTGGAATGATTAGAATTTAACACCCTCAGGCCACACTGCGCACACACCGAGAATCTGATAGGAAACTCAGCCAGCTATACCACGGTGCTTATAAACGCCATTGGACCATTTGCAACTGAAAAAGCCTAGGGGGGCGCGATCAGGAGATTTTTGGCGGGGAAATGAGGCGTATACGCGCAGTTTGCTGACAGAAGGAAATTTAAGGCAGGTCATAATTTCAACCTGGCACTTGGATAAGCTTTTCCACAGCAAAAAGGCATGAGAGCTTTTGTTGGCCAGTGTAGCCTCACTTTTGTTACGAGTCTAGGCGTAACACACGTACGTGTGACACGTCCACGTAAACCACTAACAGGTCCATTATTTCCGTCTCTGGATTGCCTCAAGAAGTCTCTTTTCGGACTCGGTCCCATAGAGCCCCAGCCTTTTGCCTTCTTGTTAATTGCTTCATACACGGAGTTCATAAGCTGCATATCTCTACCGAATTTGAAAATACTCCACAATTAAACACGTAACCCTAACCCCTTAGGGTGTATGTAAAATCACATTCGACGGATTCAGGACTTTTAGGGCCAAGGTAAAACCTTTTTACAGTCAGAAATGAAACTGTAAATCCATCTTGTTTTCTAGTGCTTTCTTCTGAAAAAAAAAAAGAAAATATAAGAAAAGTTCGTTCTAGCGGAGCCTAGATAACAACGGTACTAAGTTTTTGTAAATCGGAGTATTTACGTGTCGGGCCTACAAGACTGAACTAAAAATGTTTAAACAAGAGACTACGGGCAACGATTTTGCTGTTTCGTTTATGATTAAAAATCTCTTTAAAAATAAAAAATACTTCGGTTTAACAAAAAGCCACGGTTAGTGCCGTATTCGTTAATTAAAATTCTGCACTGATCGATTAAAATGATCAAAAGCCCGTGTTGCGCTCAGGGGACAATAGGCGAGACTTTCAATCAATTGTTGTCAGCATAAGTCCCAAATGTTAGCGAAATCGTTTCAAAAGATGATTTCCCTGGACGCAACATGACTGCATGTTTACTCTTGGTAACTACAGTGCCACTGCTTCCTGAGTCGCGCCAGATGTAAACAACTAAATCCATAGGTAGGTAAGTACAATGTAGTTTTCTTTTAAGCTGTCACAAAGCAAAAGTCCACCCACAGTTACACATACACGTACGCACGGAATTGCCAATGGCAGTGGCGGTTGCTTGCACAGCGTAATTGGAAATAACACGCTCAGCATTTGCTTTCAGAGAAAACAGTGTGCCGCGTGATCAACAGCCCCGAAAGGCACTGTTTATATTTCTCCTGCAAAGTGTTGTCAATTTATCCCAAAGAGACAGAGTAGACGGAATGCTTATTTTAAAGAAAAATCACATCCAACGAGCAGTTAACTTTTGAACTTCAAGGCATGCTTTCGAAATGGTACTTCTTTCGTGCAATTTTCGATAAAGATTCAGTTGGCCCAATTCCTGAATTGTTATCAGTACAATATTTATATTCCCTTGGGGTGCATCTTGATCTGCAATGATCTGTTCATATCCTTCCCTGAATCAACAGCCTACAATCGTATACTCCTAGGTGACCCAGGGATCAATCAAAGTCCACCCTGCCGGCTGTTGCGATATTTAGACAGATAGCTCAGTTACTGCCAGTATACTCCTATTTCTTTGAAATGAAGAATAACCAAATATCGAGGGATTCTTTTTTATACAATTTTTTTTACATAACAGCAAAAGCATCCGACAGTCAATACAGGGCCTAATGCGTATCTGATTTGGACACAAAACTTACAACCATTTCTGTTACAAAAGGCCCAATTCGTGGATAAAGTGGAAAAGATTTTGCATCTGATTTCTCACATTTCAATATCAAAATTAACCAATAAATAAGTTAATATCTCATTACAAAAGTGTGTATATGAAAAAAGATCCTCATCACATAAATGTACATACAAAATATATTTCACATTATATTTATTGACAATAATTCTCTTGGAATGCATGAAAATGTACTCGGTACTCACTAGAATACTAGTATATGAAAGGGTGCATTATTCAAGAGTGATAACATCTGACAAAAATCTTTTCCTCTGAAGGTTCTGTTTTAAAATCTGACAAAAAGTTCTTTTGCATCGTCGTAAATTCACAGCTCATCCGACATCCTTTTTTCAAACAAATTTGTTTCAACCTTGTCCTGTTTGGTAATTTTGCTGCCATCGGCGTTATAACGTGGATTTTTATATATCCGCAGCATTGACGGCTTCATTTTGTTGACGCCACTTCCTGAGCCTCTGCCATAGGCACTTGCAGTCTGTATGAGGCTTGACAGATCTGTGTCATCCAACTCATCCGTAGCTGTCTGATCCATTTCAGTGCGCCAAACAATATTGTACTCAACCTCGTTGCCATTGTGTGCCAAGTGGATCTCGGCAACATGATCAAATGTGTAACCCATCATCTGGTCGACTGCATCCTCCAGCGACGGTTTGCTCCCAAAATACTTCCCCAGTGCATCCTTTCCAGCAGAGTTCTGTAAATACTCCATCCAAATTTCCTTCAGCTTGTAAACGGTGTCAGTAAAGTCTGCTTCCTCGGGATCAAGAGGCAGATCATCATCAACGTCCAACAACGGATGGCTTCTATGAGACAGTTTAAGAAGACCCATTTCTTTCATGTACAGCATCTGTCTCTGGTAAGAATTGTCCACAGTGATCCAGTTGTTTGCAATCCACTTGGTTCCTTGGATGACATCACACCCACCATGAAGAGAGTAGGGGTTCATTGACCCCAACCAACCTGGTGAGGAGAACAAGAAGTTATTTGAGCCTATTTCCAGGTCTATGAAAATATCTCTGTGAAGTTTGGACTTGTCTCTTCTCTGCATCAGACAAGCCTGGATAAACATATACAGCACAGATAGACCAAGGTTAGCAATGCAATGCAATGGCACAAGAGAGATGGGTATCATGGGCCACACCACAAATGGAATGTTCAGAAGGGGGCAGTGTTGCAGTCCTAACCATTTAAGACCTTCACAAGACCACACAAGGCCAGCACAAGACCAACACAAGACCTCCAGTCTGAACTCAAGTCACAAGCTATTCAAATGAACTTCAACAAAAGCATTCCTTTGTCAGTGTTCACACTGTTACTTGTGACTGGTCTTGCGCACAAGTCTTGTGTCTGGTCTTGAGACGGTCTTGACTACAACACTGACTGGGGGGTAAGGGTAAATTCCCCCCCCCCCAATGTTGCCCATCCCCTGAAGAGGGGAAATTCTTTTACAACTGCAAACAAATCTGGACCATCCTCTCATAAAAAAAAACTGAATTGATAAATCCACCTTTCGGACTCAAAGCCTAGATCTTTACCTGGATGCAGTCCCCCTGCCCTTTTGTCAATCCCCCCTCCCCTGCTTGGAATTTGCAGAATACAAAATGGACCTGTGTACTGTTTCACAACCAAAGTCAAGCTGATTGAGTGGAGCCTCCAGTCGGTAGCCTAAGCTAGGATACCGGTGACATGTAACACACCTGTTGTTTCATTGATGTAGTGGTTGTACCACATGACAGCTTTGCCTTTTTCTGGCGTGACATACAAGTTCGCCTCGTGGCAGTGACGGCTTAAATCGCATGTCTCCACACTCACATTCTTCAAAACAACAAAGGCAAGGAAATTAAATCAGCCAATCAAGCGCTGGTGAATTGGACAGCAAATTCTTTCAACTCCCTTTGTCACTTTCAGATGTCTGTGTTTCGAATTTCTAACTTGCAAAACACTAGCATGGTTGACCACTTTTCATTCTTGGCTAGTTTTATTAAAACTAAAGGAAAGCTTTAAAACAATTGAACTAGGAAGCGTAGAGAATGCTGAATAGTTGTTGCTTGAAGTAACTCAAGGATTACAATCTCCATTATTTTGTGGCATAAATTTGCAGGAAACAAGAGGTTACTTTTGGGAATGTTTTACCTCTTCAGAGAAAGTAGCATTGTCAGCGATTGGGAATGCAGTCTCTCCACCTTCCATAGTGTCATCAAGGTAGTACAAAATTGTCAAGAACCTGAAATAGGATTTTTTTATATTTTTAGTGGAATAAAAAGCAAGATAGTGAAAATGTCCTAGTTCTTTGTACATTTGAATCCATCTCTGCTTGGGGAGAGATTATGGCTATAAATGCAGCTGTTAGCTTCACTAAACTACATCGGCTACCAGGAGAATGAGAATAATGACTACAGGCAATAACCAAAACAGAACGCCCCATGCCCTCAGATTATGAGATTATGATGCATGGGTTCTTAAACAATTGACAATACAACTTATCACAATATTAGCCCTCCCCATTCAGGTTTGTGCTGAAGAAAGGATACACACTAGCATCAGAAGGTGTTCAAACTCCGCCCATGGCTGATTACATACCTCTCTATCAATCATCATCACTTGTATTGATTTATAAGCATGACGACCAGGGGTAATAATGTCTTGGCACCCTTGGTTACACCTTTCCTCCGGTGAGGACCTACCTGCACAGGCGTGTGGATCTTGTATCATGGCCACCACCTTTGTCAGGTACCAGTTCTGCAGTGTGAGAGCATCGCTGATTTGGGTCAATTTCCTCCGAATCATAGTGAGCATGGAAGTGGCCTCCTGGAGTGTAGTACACAACCTGGTCAAAGACATGGAAAAAATAAGGAATCCTGGAAGCATGGTAGTGGAAAACTAGAGTATTAGGCACAGTGCCTACTATGGCAGGGCTCCGAGGTCAATATATGAAGTGCCATTAATTTGAAGGTGAAAGTAACTTCTTGTCTTTTCGTTATTTTTGACAATTCCTTATAGCATATCTCAATTCACTGGCTGATAGGAAGTACTTTGTTTATAATAAACTCAGAATGTCTAGATTGGACAACAGAATAAGAAATCAGTACGGTAAAGTAACTTCTCACAAATCATTTAGTCTGTATGTCAAATCAAAAGGTATCAAACACTTAACTGTGAAACAGATATTGCTGCTAAAACCAAACGTACAAACTGATTCCTGACTTGATGTGCAACGAATTTGACTGACAACCATCCAAATACCTGAAGTTTTTCACTGTGTTCCACGATGCCCGCTGGCAATCCTGTCAGCTCAGTGGTTCTGTACCATTTGCAACAATAAAAGCTGATGTCTGATAAATGCTGAAATCATAAAATGCTGAGCAATACATTCAATGTTATTCTCTTTCCGATGATGTTTATTCCTTTTCTGAGTTCCATGTTATGATAATGACTACGATTTCCTTCATGTTCTGGCCAAAAGGGGACGAAGAGGAAGTGGTTCCAGTTTAAGAAGTGAGAGGAAAGCCCAGGAGAACAGTAATCTTGGTACGTATGCCAACAATTAATGGAATCAGCTAGGGAAGAAAAATCCTTCAACTTCACCCTAACCTAACTGAGGAAAACCAAACCGACCCAACCTCAATTCTTGCTCTACCCCAGTTTCGTTCACCCCAAGCCAAGCTGAGCCAAAACAAAAACATGACAGTTTCACAGAACATTTTAATCTGAGAACACATGACAGGTGTTCTTACATATACCTAGGGAATGACTGGTTCCAGGCCAATCAATCCAAGAAACAATACCTGTTGCAACTAGGATCATGCCTGGTTCCCTGAAAAAGGAGCACTCCAAATGGCATAATCACATGTGGACATTTGAGTTGCTGTCTACATTACCTCTGCCTTAGATCTGTTAGAATCTTGTCTGTGCCGTCATCCTGTGATAGCCATGCCTGCTGACTGACACGACTCAACTTCTTGTCATCGTTACTAAGCCGCCCAGCCCATTCCTTAATCTGATGATAAAGAGTTTTGGAATCAGAGTTTCTATCAAATACAGGTAGGCAGACTTTCTAGACTGACCTGAGCATCTTCAAACCAGAATTTTGAGTTGTTGGCCCTAACCTTCCCCATTCACACAAAGTTAAACATCCATGTGGGACTTTGTGCACAGAGGCTGTTGGACTTTGTTTTTCTGAGGTATGCCACCCAATGTAAAAGCCAGCTGTTATGGGCCTACCAGACCTATCCCCACAGAATTAAACACTTTACTACTGTTTAATTCTGCGTGGTTGGGGAAGGTTAGGGTTATCATTTAAAAGCTGAACAATCAGGAAAATAACTCATTAATCACAGGATGCAAAAAAGCAGAAGCAACAATGCCAACATATGCAGCATGGCAAGCAATCACATGAAATTCAAGATGCCTGTAACATCGACAATTGATGGTTTGAGCCTGGAACAAGAAGCGATAGCTCAATTGACAGACTACCTGTATGGCAAACTGGTGGTCACAGGTTCCAGTCTAACTTTTTTCAACTTTCTACATCCAAAGATTATCCAAAGTCTTCTGTTCACCTCTAGTTCACTTCTTTTACCTGTATTATTTTTTCACTGTCTACACTGGAAAACTCATCCAGACTTAAAGCTCCATCTCCATCTACGTCCAGGTGAACTTCTTGGAACATCTGTGAGGCGTCCTCTGGTCGAAGAAATACATTACTTTCCAAGTCAAGAATTTCAAGAACTTCATGTACGTCCAACACCTGCACATGGATTTTAAATAAAAACAGGCATGTCAAATTGTCATTGTAGTTAATATGTATGACAAATGTAGTTCCAAGAAGTTCCTATTTATTAAAAAACGAATAGAAGACTACAGAATTCCTTGAAAGCAGCTACAAAAAGGTACAAATATTTTATCCTAAAGATACAAGAGAAATTCATCAACAAAATTTCTTACCCAAAATTACTGTCTACGGAACTTGACACAGCCCTATGAGGCAGTCCACAGAATTTCATAGAACAGAGTTAGTGCAAGTGGACTAGTGGTCTCAGCTATGGATAGCCCTAGTATGTATAAGAGATTATTACCCCATCTTGGTTAGTGTCAAAGTCATGGAAGAGTTCCTGAGCGGAGCCTTCCTCCTCTGTTTCGTCATTGGCTCCGTCTTGCTTCAAGGGACTTCTAAACAAGCCCACCTCCAGGGCTAGTTTCTTGATGTGCTCACACTCCTCGGCAGAGAGAAATCCAGGGATCTCTTTCAATGGCAATCAGAAATGCGAATAAAATGGTGTGTTAGTAAACATGTCTATCTACCAGGTCCATATACTTCCATTTAAACACTGCAGTAATATCACTCGACTGACCCACGAAGCCAAAAACAACATCGGGTCCCTAGGGAATGGATAGGCCCATCCAAGCCTTGGTTAAGACTTGTCTTAAAAACTTGAAATCTTTGGTTCCTTCCACCACACTCTCATTGTATCAGTTAGTAACAGGGCGGAAAATGACAAAGGTTCAAAGCTGGTTGTCAGCTGAGTGTTCCTTAGTTCAGTCTTGCCCAAGTTACTTGGCTATGGCTAGACAATTCTATTGGAAATGCACAAAGTTGCTGGCTGGCCACTTCCACAGGGATGTGCATTTTTCCTAGCTGTAGACAAATAATTCAGAAAAAGTCTTACAGGTGTGACTATGTTATCTGCCCCAAGCTGAAGTGCACCCCCAATCGGCAAAAGAAAGACAGGTGACAAGCACAAGCCACAAGTACAAAAGAAAAGTGGTTACAAGTGGGTTCTTGCACGCGTTCTGCGTGTACTCAAAGACCATGCAAGCCGGAATGAATTAGTTACACGTACTCAGCATGTTCCGTGTCAAACACACATCTACTTATGCGCCTCACAGCACGCCAATGCGGTGAGTACCAAAAAAACACGGCCTCTTTTGTTCCGCTCGGAGCGGATAGGCACATTCCCATCATAGAAACTGAGCATGAGATCACTCGCAATCCCTGATATCCTAAGTAATGGTGAAAGTAAAAGCTATCCAGTGTGAGGTGCATTAGGAAAAGTAACAACTAGCACAATATTTCTGCCTTGGTGGGGGGGGGAGACAGTTTAAAGTAATTGGGAGTCTGGATTCATCTTTATGAAGCCGTACGATGTGTTCGCTTGATCGTTCAAAGCAGAAATGTCATGTATTTCACATCCATGAATAATTGCGGTAGAATAGAATTCAGAGCACTTTGATTACGCTGCCATCTAGACTACTCACCAAATACTGGTGGCTCTTTCGCCAGAGTCCTCATCTGTAGAACCTGACCTGACTGGAGTTGAACATCTTGTATGTGGTTTCTCTGAATTGAAAGAAACAGTTTTGAGAAAATGATGGCTGAAGTCAAAATGGAAGCTCAAGGACAGATCAACACGGTTGAATCCTTTGTACTATTTGGTGGCGTGTGTGTGTCAGTGAGGGTTGGGGGGTGGTTCCCCTTTCCTTGATGAAAAGATGGCCCACAAAGGTCTCCCTGTAAATCCAACCTAGAGAAAGACCTTAGTTATGTTACATTAGCAGTTGCAAAGTGCCCTGTCTGACGATATTGGGTCAAAATATGCAAACATACACTACTTGTCAAAACATTGTGTGACACTGTTCAGCTCCTTACTTTGACCACTCTTATGAAAGAAGTCTTGTCACTGTGTCAAAGGACTTGTGGTTGACTTGACCACATGACTGCTTTGAATACAATGCCATAAATTAGATAGCCCTAACAGTCCCAAATCCTCCAATTTCAATATGATTTTACATACACTTTTGAGGGTTAGGATTACCAACCTCCACAGGGTCAAGTTGGAAGAGAGTAAGTCTTTCTTTGGATTCAGGTGATGATGACTCATCAAACAAGATGTCCGAATCTTCATTGGAAGTGGATGCCACTTGGACAGCTAAGGCTAAAAGGATGTGCCACAAAACCCACCACATGATCAGGAATGCTATCCTCAATTGTTAGCCGATCCTCATCAAAACAATACCTATCAGAACAAAAATCAAGTTATCAAGAATAAAATGTACAACAAAATACGTAGCCACCACAAATTTCAATGACAAACAAAGGCTTCAATAATACACAAGCATCTATGAAATCCATTTAGTGTTTACCAAGTCGACAATATCAAAAGCAAAGGTAACGTTTGAAGTTGCAAACTCAGCATTTAAACACAGTCCAAGCTAAGCATGCTTAATAGGAAATATCTAGAATTTCTTTCTGGAAATTTCATTTATAGACCTTTATGGATATTCTTCTTCCTTGCTAAGTTGCTTTTTCAATGTTGGGTGTCTTTGTTTCAAAACAAGAAATCACCATCCATGGAATGTCTGTTTCATTAACAGACACAAATGAAGCATTTTAGGCCATCTAACATGACTGACTATAGCATCTTCTGGCATATGGGGTCCCGGTAGTCTGGAACCACTGTCAGCTTCAGAATATGGTCAATCACCATGATAGATCTTCCTGGCAGGTTGGTTGCATATGTCTAATGTGATCAGGTTCGATGCCAGGAAGTCGTGAAATTTAGAAAACTTGACGATAACGACTGCCGAAACAGCCCTGACATGCCTGACTGATACGAAAGAGGAATGACGTTCTACTACGTAGACTAAGTACTAAAAGTAGGCAGTAGGCCACGCTGCTCTGGTCTATGACAATGAATAAAACGAAACAGGAAACAGCACGAATTCCCTCATGGCGTGGCGCGGCCAGCATGAATTTGCCACCAAACAGTTTGCTGGTAGTTTTCCAGAACCCTGTCCTTGAAGATGTTCAAGACTTGCAAAATACTTACAAAGAGTTTTCAAGGTAGGCCCGGGTTAGAAATCGAGACCACCATTGTGGCATTATGAGTTGGGAGGTAAACGGGGATTCCCCGCGGCGCCAGAGACAGAAAGAGCGACCTCTGCAGTTTAGCAACTTGTGAGTTTGTTAGATTTGCACGCCAGAGGAAAAATCAGACTGTTTTGAAAAAAACTGAACTTAAGTTGTTGCCAGTACATTTTGCACTGATCGCAAGGGTGGTAAAACGTAAAACAGCCCATACGACGACGTTGAACTCTTGGTTAATGTTTAATCTTGAAATCTTAAAATTTAAAAACAATACATCAAATCCTCAATGAACTCAAAAAGGTAAATCCAAGACCCCTGTTTCGTACTTGTTTTATGGGTGAAACAATGGAGGATTGCAGAGGATTAGAAACAGGTGGGGGTTGTTGGAACATCCTACCCCCCCCCGCGGATAGTTGAGCGACGGAAGGTTTGCATTGTTTTAATTTTGGGGCGTCTGCCCAAACTTTGATTGTTTTCCAATATTCAACATCGGCTCCGTCTCAGGTTTCAACCGTTTTTTAACTAGCTAACTTTGAAGTTGTAAGCCCAGTAATTAGTCTAATAGTGTCACAAAACATCAAATAAGATGCAAAAGAACCAAAAATTACAGTTATATAATTTAATTTAAAAGCTTCAGGCCCACAACCGAGGATTGGTTTTGGGAACGAAGACTGAGACGGAGACGAAGTTGAGTATTGGAAAACAGCCTTTTTTGTTAGCGCAAAGCTCGTTCTCACAGTGCTATCTCAAGAGGGCGTCGTTCTACAAACTTCATCAATTGAACATGGCGGCCTCTAGTGAAACAGTGAAATGATCGCCGAGTACACATTGAATCGTCTGAATGCATCTGTCGATTTCATTTCTGCTGCATATTACAGGGTTTTACAATTCATTAAAATTGTGAGGTATTTATATGTCAAACTGATTGAATGTTGGCTTTTCTCAACCACAATTAACGTATGACCCATGTCAACAAATCTACTCACATGCATGATGATCACCCCTGCTGATGACTTAGTGAGGCCTAGCGTTAGGCCAGTTAGGATTAAGTAGGGCCTACTGCTACCACACAAACGCTCAATAGCTCGAAACCTGAACTTGCTGAAAGCGATCATTGTTTTGACGTCCAGAACTTAAAAAAAAGAAAGTAAACATGGTGATCACCGATAAATCATTTGTTGGCGAATGTGCCCAGGCACAGGACATTTTAGAGTGAGATATGGCATGCATAATATTGCTTCACAAAGCTCTTAAACACACTAAAGGGCCCTGATACTTGGATATGTAAGTGTACTATGTAGGCCTAACGTTACCCCTGGTATCCTAGGTTGTACCATCATGACTGTCAATTTGTTATTTTACAGAGAATTTGTGCTTTTCATCTTTGATTGACATGATCATGGATAGGCTTCTGCAGTTGATTTCTGCTCTTAATTAACACACACCATCTGGCCAAGCAAAGGAGAGAAAAATTATAAATTCCTCACCAACTGAACTGGTTAAAGTTGTACTTGGAATTTTGTCAACTGTGATTACTGTAGAGGTTATGTATCAACACTTCCTCAGAGGGTAAGAATATTGTATCACTGGGATAGTCTTGAGTAAACCTTCTAATCATTCATTGTAACTAAATTGAAATTAACTAACAAAAGACAGTCTGTGACACACCATAGGGATACCAGCAATGCGTACCTCTAGTAATTTTTTCCAGGTTTTGCTCCTCATTGTGTTTGTATTTTCTGACTGTTGGATGATCAAAGGAACTGCAATATCTTATTAACCTTTATTTCTCCACTCCCAATTCCCCCCCCAAGGTGATCCATTCCTTCCCCTGGTGATCCATACTATGTGTATCTCCCCACTTTGCAGTTTTTTCAACGCTTGAAACAGCATGAGCAGCAAAACCATTCCATCATCTCAGGTAACTTTTTGATTATGTTCATGATTTTAGATAAATTGGGACATGGCGACGGATACCCTTGGTTATGAAAGTTGAAATGAGGGAGCTATTTTCACCACAGACAGCCCACAGTGGGTATACTGCTTGCCACAGAGAACCGTTTTTTTCTACACAACTTCACAGAATTTGGCTAATGCAGCAACGACCATGGCGTTATTGCCTTCCCCGGCATTTTAGGCCTGAATCTGTCTGACCTCTTAACATCTTGTTCTTAACAGAGGCAGCAATGGGTGTCACCGTCCTTCGACGACTTTGAATTTGATCTCTCAGCCGGCACCAGCCAGCAGACAAAACCTGCGATCAAGGTCAGCCATGGCCAGAACACGCTGCACCAACTCCTGAGTCGAAAGAGAAGCAGACCTGAGGGAGGCTCCGAGAGGGTTCGAACCGCTGACAGACAGAAGCAGCGCAAGGCTACAGAGGCAGACACCTGGGTGGACAAACACACTCCACAGATACAGGTAAGTATGGTATTCAAAAACGGAAGCCTTAAGGTACAGTGGAAGTCGTGAATATAAATTCTGTGCATGGCCGCGCTTTTTCTGATCAGAGCTTTTGTTTCGTAGGAATACACATAAGTAGACCATTTGTGCTATCCCACCATAACAAAACCGTTGCCAGAAAACTGGCTTTCATGCATAGCCTCAGTTCTAATGGTATACATGTATATACATGTATGTATATCTCCCTGTTTTTTTTAGTCAAACCCTCATTTCGATATATTGTAGCTCTGTGAAAATGGTCAGGGATGTTGTGATGTGCTTAAAATGTGGTCTCCTTGCATTCTGTCTTCAGAGTGAGCTGGCAGTCCATAAGAAAAAGATCGTAGAGGTGGAAGAATGGTTGAGACGACATGTCAAGGAGAAACGACCTGGCAGACAGGTATTGACATTTACTTGACGTCATGAGGCAAAAATGCCGAAAACCAAGTTTGGATGTCATGAAACAGTTTCGTGCCTCCTCAAAGTAATTCGTATTTTAGCACAAGCAGGCTATTGCTCATGTAGATTTCCTTTCATCATGTCAGAAGTCATTCTTTTTCCATCCTTCACTAGACAAAAGCCCCCATTCTTCTCCTAACGGGACCAGCTGGGGCTGGTAAGACGGCAACCATCCATGTTCTGGCCAAACAACTACAGATGGAGGTCCAGGAATGGTCCAACCCAAACACGATGACCTATGATCCAGACAGAGCCGTGCAGGACAGACAAGGTATGGGTGCTCTGCAAAGTCTAGCGTGGATTACCCAACTATTGAAACAATTTTCATGAGCCTCTTTATAAACACTGACACAAAGAGTACATGTAAAA